ACAAGCGTGAGGGAAAGCCCCCATGGTTCAAAATTGAGCGAGGGCCTAGGACCGAAACACGGGCTCTGATAGCATGTCGAGATAAGCTGTTAGGCATGAAGCCATGGCCAGAGTTGAGAGTTAGGAAGCGGAAGCATGGCGATGGTATCGAGAGAAAAGGGTACACCACCAACAGTTGAACCTAATATCTAACTAATACACTAGCAAGCTGTAGGCAGTTATAACAGGATATGCAAATATAATTCAACAGTTAGCGAACTGGACACATATGACTAGCGCGCACATGCGCGCCCAGTTTGCAGGTGCTTATAGGCGGTCAAGGACGTTGCGCCTCGTCCCGCCCGTCGCGAAGATGCCGAGCCGGCCACGTGCCGACAATTGCGCCAGATGCTCTACGTCGACGTCGGGATACAAACTGCACGTCCACTTCGCCAACACCTCCAAAGCGAAATTCGCACGCTCGCCGTGTTTCGCGGTTGAACAGCTTCGGTCGATAAGTTCGACGTTGCTCCGTCGAAGAGCATTCGCCTGTCAGAAAATATAAGTTTATATATATTTCTATATATAACAGCCTGTAGGATTGGTTACTGTAGTTATAACAATTTCCAGTTTGGTGGTGCACCTTTCTTGATTCTTGCCTATTTGTACTGCTCGCTCTATAGTGAACAACCTCTTTTGTTGGTTATCCCTCTCGTCACCTCGTTCCTCTCACCTAAACCTAGCTCAATGTTCCTAGACTTAATCTCCTATTTCAACATGGTACAGAGCATGCTTCGATCCTAGCCTGTGGTTTCTTTTTCGTAATGGCACCCTTCGTTGCGGCCTGCGTCGTCCCGGTCATTCGCCCTACCCGTCGCGCGCTTGTCGCTGTAAACGTCGCCGCAGTCGCGACGAAGGGCGCGGCTGTCGTGGCGACGAGCTGGGTGGCCGTCGCACTGGCTCCGCCCGTCGCTTGCGGCCACGCTGCCCCGTCGCCCTTTCGTCGCACCTCCGTTCCGGCCCCCTGTCCCGCCCGTCGCGCCCGTGCAACTGTCCCCGCCCTCCCTCCCACCGGCCCCGTAGCAGCTGCCGCGAGCGCTCCTGCTATGAGGGGATGTCGTGAGGGTGGCGGGCAGTGGAGGGAAGGTGGCGGCGGTGGCGGACAGTGGGGGAGGTGGCGTGACGGGGTGGCCGTTGTGAGACGCCAACAACGCCTGCCGTCGCCCTTTATCGCCCCATGCGCGACTGTCGCTGTAGGGGGGAGGGTGCAGGGGTGGCGGGAGTGTACCCGCAGGAACCAGCCGCCGCCCTCCTCTCTCCTCTCTCTCCCTGCAGCTCCTGTCGCTATGGGGAAAGGGGGGAAGTGTGAGGGGGTGACGAGAGATATTCTGTCAAGCCAACAGCCGCCCTTCCTCCTCTCTCTCTCACTGCTGCACGAGCAGCTGTGGGGGGGGGGTGAGAGAGGGTGGCGGAAGTCAGCCGGGCATCTGTTGCTGCCGTCCCGCTGCTGCCATGGCACCTCCAGCTGCCGCCCCTGCCGCCACCTGCCCTTGCTTCTGTTGCCTGCTGCTGGGGCCTGCATGTGCTGCCATCGAGCCGCTGCTGTCCTGCTGCACGTTGCAGCCACAGAGCCTGCTCCTCAGGCGCCCTGCCGCCCCTACTTCTGCTACTGCTTCTGTCTTGGCTCAGGGTTTGCTACTGCTGAATCTGCCACCACTGCACCGGTTGCCAATGCACTTGCTTGCTGCTGCAATTTCCGCTGCGCACTCTTGGTGTACCCCTTCAGGGGGCGTTAACTGCATATTCCTCTCCTACAGGCAGTTATGGGGGCGTGTCATAAAATATAAGTTTATATATTTTCTATATATAACAGCCTGTAGGATTGGTTACTGTAGTTATAACAATTTCCAGTTTGGTGGTGCACCTTTCTTGATTCTTGCCTATTTGTACTGCTCGCTCTATAGTGAACAACCTCTTTTGTTGGTTATCCCTCTCGTCACCTCGTTCCTCTCACCTAAACCTAGCTCAATGTTCCTAGACTTAATCTCCTATTTCAACATCGCCGAGACAAGCCCTCCGAACAGAACTTGTCGACCGATCTCGTCAATGAGCTCCTCTACCGACCTCGTCGAGGAGCTCCTCTACCGACCTTGTCGATGAGCTTCTCTACCGGCCTTGTCGAGGAGCTCGTCGACCGGTGCTCCTCGACCGGCCTCGTCGAGGAGCTCGTCGACCGGGTCTAATCGAGCAGAACTCCTGCTCGGCCACATCTCCTATCGACCACTTCGACGTAGCTCCATCGAACTGCTCTTCAACGAGCTCATTGACCACCCAGGTAGAAGTCGGCCGTCGATCTCCTTCGTCGGCGGCTTCGCAAAGTTCCTGCGCACGTCGACCAACTTCGTCGACCTGCTCGCCCAAGTTGGCGTCAACCTCTGCGGGCTGCATCTCCCGCGCACCCGACTGCGTAGAAGGCTTCACCCAAGCGAGGGCGGATATGTTTCCCGTCAACAGCCCCGAGTACTCGGTCTGGGAGTCTTGCGACGCTGCTGCTCACCTCGCTCTCAGCAGCCTCCTTCCGTCGGCCGAGTGCGTCACTTCAGCTAGGTCACGTCAGCGAAGGAGTGTTTTGGCGTATCGCTTATCGCTATTCCACTCCTTCATCTGCCACGCCTCCTCATGTCGTTCTTCATTCCCAACCTTGCAGTGTCTTCCACTATTGCTGACCTAGTCACTCACCTGCGCTCGCTCGACGCTAACTATCGTGCTACCCGTACCACTGCCCAGCTTGCTGGCCACCCCCGCCTGTTTGCCACCCTCTCATTCAACGTCACCCGCCTCCCTGACTGCCCCTCGTCTGCACGCGACACGCTTTTTGGGAAGCACCCCATTGAGCATATTATCGATCTCATTGAAACTATTCCCAATAACCTCCGCTCTGTTGCCTCTGCTACTTCCGCTGTCGTTCCCCGTCTCTTCTGTTAGTGGTTGGACTAATAGAGCTTCCCTGATTTGTTTCTTGCCTACTAGGCACAGCTCAGGGTTTAGGGTTTAGGCACAACCCTAAACCTTTACCTAGCCTATAGGTGTGTGTCAAAATGTATGTTTCTCATTTGTGGTGTTACATTTGTTAGCCTAGGTTAGGGTTAGATATATGTATCACCCTGCTCCTAGTTCATCCCCATCCGCTGATTACACTATTGACACCACCACCTCGACACCGACAGCCGTCACTGTGCTATTCGGTTGTTTGAGCATACTTTCACGCATCTTCGGGGGGGGGGGGGGGGGGGGGGGGCACCATCCCACGCCCGGCGTGGTTCGTACATGCACCTCCTCTACCTCCTGCGCCTCCTGCACCTTTGCCCCTCCTGCAACGCCTGCACGTCTCGCACCTCTCATAGCACCCACTCATCTGAATCTCGATGATGCACGTCATCTTTGTACCGTCACTTTAGCCAGTATCAGCGAACGGTCCTGGTTTTCCATGCGCATCTATGAGTGGTAGCATCGAAAAGGGGGATACAACAAGCACAACTAACGCTATTTGTAAGGCGACGAGTGAGAAGACACTGACGATACGTGCAAGATGCTGTATGTTACTGGACTCGAGACAACTTGTCAATGAAGATTATCGTCATTGCTTTTCCGGAGGGCAAAACAGTACGCATATCCGTTTACTACAAACCGTGATTTTCACACCTTATTTCCAGGAGTCGTTTGAGACACTGACAACGATAATTATACACGGGATGACCTATGGATAAACGTTGATGTGCTGAAATAGCGGCGGCGGGTGTATACTCTTCTTTGAATGAATTGAAAGAATAATGGTTCTACTGCGTGACAGTAAATGGAATACTAGGCAGCAACTTGGTGCACCACCTTGGAAAACCATGGAAAGCTTATATACCAGTATCAGGGTACAAGTGTAGTAATTTTGATATTCAGATTGTTGTATTGAAATTTCAGTTTGCTTGATGAGGATTTTTTTGCCATCAGTGGATTCTAGAGGCTCTTCTGGCCCGATACAGAGCACACCCACGACCTTTTCCAACCTGCCATTTCCGTCACGTTTGCCGTCATTGGCGTCCCAAATTGACGGAAAAGCGAAAGTGCCTTTCAGTGCAGACGGCCTTTATTACCGTTCACCTGTCCCCAACCCCAAGATCACGTTCGCCTTGGGAAGATATTCGTGTTGGTGGAGCAACGGCTGAGATTAGTCCTCCTCTGACATGCAAGGATAATACACCTGGTCCGCGGTATTTTAACCGCGCGAAAATGGGTAGCAGGATTTTGGATTATCTGGCCGTGGTGAAGATAAGGGTGCAAAATTTCGGTCATTATTTTCACCACCAAATATCTGAACAGCATGGAAAGTTTTGACAGCTCTACTCAAAAGGAGCAATTCGGCTCTTTTCGCCATCTGGAATGTTCCAGAGTCGGGAAAGTAAAACCATCGACGGTGACGATTCTTTTTGGAAAATTCGGATGGGGAAATTCGCTTGCCACGTGGACGGCGCCAGCTGAAATATCAAAAAAAGGCTTGGCAATCTACAACTTGGTTCGGTCAAGTGTGAACAGCGATTTCTGGCCACCCAACAAGAAACGCCCAGCGTGCCGACAAACTTGGTTACGATACCGGCGGTTAAAATACCGCGGACCAGGTGTATATCGTCTTGGGAACTCCGACTCGACGCTAGGAGTATCGGGCTTCAATGCTGCTTGCCTCCTGAATTCCCGAGGCAGCCCTACTTCGTGATTTTTCACTTGCGTGCGTATCACGTCGCGTTACCTGATTTAGTATCCTAGGGTTCTCGTATTGCGGCTTTAGAAGTTTGGTTGCACTCGACATGCGACAACCTGTTACCCTCCCTCGCTATACCCTTCATCCATTAACTCTCCTCGACACCGCCTTTAACCTTGTTAACTTGTCTTATTGCGAGCAACAAAGAATCAGTTGTCGTTTACATCTTAACACGAGAGAGCCACAGAGCAACAAAGAATCAGTTGTCCAAACGATGGCTCATAGAGCTTCCTCCGCCTCTTCCGGCGCGGGAGAACCGCGAGTCTGGGCTCCCAGGAGAAGCCAGCGATTAGATCAACGGCCAGGATTCGCATCAGCCGCTGCTGCTGCCCCCTCTGCCGCGGGTCGTAGCTCCAACGTTCGTCCAGTTAGACCAAGCGGGTCTCCCGCCGCAGCTCCCGCGGAGGGGCACAGCGTTACTAGTCGAACCCCGGCGCATTACCGCCGTTCGTTAGCGGAGATCGCGGCCGCGTCGTCTTGCGGCAGCCGGCCCGCGCCCGGCGGAATGACGGCGGTGGTGGGCGAAGCGAGTCTCACGGCGCAAGTCGCGGACAACCTCACGCTGCCGCCTCACGGCGTCGCGTCCGCCGCTTCCTCCTTGAACGGCGGGGATGGCGGCGGAAGCGCCGCTGGCGCAACTAGGGAAGGGGGAGCCGGCGGAGGCGGGGGGGCGTGGGGGGTGCAGCATCACGCGGGGGTGGGCGCCGCGGCTGCTGATTGGCCGGCTATCGCGAGCGCGTCGCACGAATTCGTAGATGGCGCGGCGGCGTCCGAGTCGTCTGAGGTGCCTGTAGCGAGAGATATGGAGTCCGGGAAAGAGGGAGGCGATCCGCAGTGGGTGGAGGGTCACAGGCACCACCAACAGCAGCAGCAGCATATGATGGAACAGCAGCAGCAGGCGGCGCTAGTGCCGCCAATAGCGGCGGTTACATTGCAACACATGCAGCAACACGAGCAGCAGCAGCAGTTTCTGCAGCACCAGCAATCGGTTTTAGCGCAGCCGCCGCTACTGCCGCCGTCGCAGCCGCAGCCGCAGCCTGTGCAGGCGCAGCAATTGCAGCAACCGGCGGCGCCGGTGCAGCAGCATAACCAACCACAGCAGCAGCAGCAGCAACAGCAAGTTTCTTTAGGCGCTCGACAATCCAACGCAGACGATCACCATCATCATCACCATCATCACCACCATCAGCAGCAGTTGCCGTTGCAGGCGCAGCAGTCGCAGCAGGCGCAACGGCACCCAGTCGCCATGGCGGACGACCAAGCCTCGGTGGACAGCCACGAGGAGAGCTTCGCGCAGATCGCGCCCCCCGTCGCGCGCGCGCAGGTCTCGCAGTCCAACTCCGTCGTCGACGGCCGGCGCGGCGGGGGCTGGGGCGCGGGGGGGCGCGGAGTCGAGTTCCGCGGGCAGTTGCAGACGCGCTCGGCGCGCAGTGGCGGCGGACGCGGAAGCGCGGGCGGACAGGGCGGAGTTGCGCTCAGCGGCGTCGGCGCGGTGGGGGACGGCAGTCGCGCGGGGCCTGGCGGAGCGGGGGTATGGGGGGCTGCCGCGGAGGGGGACGGCAGTCGCGCGGGGTACTGGGCGGGGGCGCAAGGGGAGGGCGTGGGGGGAGCGGGGGAGAGAGGCGCGGGGGCGTTTGACGCCATGGGGATTCCCGCGCCTGCCGCGTCCGTGCAGAGCCAGGGTTCGTCTCTAGGCAGCGGGCACGACGCGGGGGGAGGCGCGGGCGCGGGCGCGCATAAGAGGCAGCGGGGGAGGCGATCCGCGCATGCGCCCGCGATGGCGGAGGTGCACATGGCGGCGGATCCGGGTGGGCGATTCGGGGATTCTGATGAGGTGTCGATTGGAAGCATGAACGCGTGTAGCAGCGGCGCCAGAAGCGGGGGAGGCGGTGGCGCTAGAAGCGGGGGGGGCAGTGCGGGGGGAGGCGTGGGCGGAAGAGAAGGCGTGGGGGGAGGTGGGGGGAGGGATGAAGAGGAGATGGGGGGCGCAGCTGCCTCTGGGGCGGGGCGAGGGGGACGCGGAGGGGGGAGTGGGCGGGGGAGGCGAGGGGGAGGGGGAAGCAGGCAGGCGCAAGGGTCGCAGACAGGGGGAAGGGGGCAAGAGGATCGCGAGATAGACGCGCTGGGACGCTGCATGTAAGTGGAGAGGAGGAGGTGTGTTGCTGTGGCACGCTGCATGTAAGTGGAGAGGAGGAGGTGTGTTGCTGTGGCACGCTGCATGTAAGTGGAGAGGAGGAGGTGTGTTGCTGTGGCACGCTGCATGTAAGTGGAGAGGAGGAGGTGTGTTGCTGTGGCACGCTGCATGTAAGTGGAGAGGAGGAGGTGTGTTGCTGTGGCACGCTGCATGTAAGTGGAGAGGAGGAGGTGTGTTGCTGTGGCACGCTGCATGTAAGTGGAGAGGAGGAGGTGTGTTGCTGTGGCACGCTGCATGTAAGTGGAGAGGAGGAGGTGTGTTGCTGTGGCACGCTGCATGTAAGTGGAGAGGAGGAGGTGTGTTGCTGTGGCACGCTGCATGTAAGTGGAGAGGAGGAGGTGTGTTGCTGTGGCACGCTGCATGTAAGTGGAGAGGAGGAGGTGTGTTGCTGTGGCACGCTGCATGTAAGTGGAGAGGAGGAGGTGTGTTGCTGTGGCACGCTGCATGTAAGTGGAGAGGAGGAGGTGTGTTGCTGTGGCACGCTGCATGTAAGTGGAGAGGAGGAGGTGTGTTGCTGTGGCACACTTCATGTAAGTGGAGAGGAGGAGGTGTGTTGCTGTGGCACGCTGCATGTAAGTGGAGAGGAGGAGGTGTGTTGCTGTGGCACGCTGCATGTAAGTGGAGAGGAGGAGGTGTGTTGCTGTGGCACGCTGCATGTAAGTGGAGAGGTGGAGGTGTGTTGCTGTGGCACGCTGCATGTAAATGGAGAGGAGGAGGTGTGTTGCTGTGGCACGCTGCATGTAAGCCGAGAGGAGGAACTCTAGGAGCGGAAAGCCAAGGCTAGAAGCGTCACATCTTCTTGGCTGATTAGGAGGAGCATTGCCGTGGCGCTGCGTTCCATCTACTAATTCAGAAGCCACCTCACTCCCTCCGCTCCACACTCGCTCCCACCTCACTCTCTCTCCCCACCTCATTCTGTCCCTTCGCACTCTTTCTGCTCCTTTTTCCGTGCCATGTGTGTACTTGTGCTTGTGCTTGCGCCCAGGACCAAGATTCTGAGGCACCAGGCGAGCCAGCTGGGCATACACGTGGCGCCAGATGGCTTCGTGCGAGTGGCTGATCTGCTGCTGCTGCCCGTCAACACCAACGCCCACCGCCCCCTCGCCTCCCACACGCTGGAGGACGTGCGCCTGGTAAGGGGACGTGCGCCTGGTAAGGGGCTGCCTCACTTACTGGGTGCTCCAGGTAAGGGGCTGCCTCACTTACTGGGTGCTCCAGGTAAGGGGCTGCGTCACTCACTAAGTGTGCGAGTGGCGGATCTGCTGCTGCTGCCCCTCAACACCAGCCCACCGCCCCCTCGCCTCCCACACCCTCGAGGACGTGCGTCAGGTATGGGGCTGACTCACTGCCAGGTATGGGGCTGACTCACTGCCAGGTATGGGGCTGACTCACTGCCAGGTATGGGGCTGACTCACTGTGTGTGCTATAGATACGGGTTTACCCTTTTTGCCGTGCCTTCCTTCTCCCCCATCCATATTGTCCCCAATATAAATGTCCCGCCCCCTGGATCTCTCCCCCGTTTATTTCTGTTCGTCCCTCAGGCCGTGGCGCGGGACAACAAGCAGCGATTCACACTGAGGGAGGGGCCAGGGGGCGAGGTGTACGTGCGGGCGAACCAGGGCCATTCCCTGCACGTGGATGAGGAGCAGCTGCTGCGGCGCATCACCGACCCTGCTGCCCTGCCAGGTAAGATCTGAGTGTATTGAAAGTCACATTCCCTGCACGTGGACGAGGAGCAGCTGCTGCGACGGATTACTGACCCTGCCTCCCTTCCAGGTATTTTATGGTCTGGGTTGACTCACTATCCACATTCGCTGCACCTGAGCGAGGAGAAGCTGCTGTGCTGCGGCGGATCTCCAATCCTGCTGCCCTCCCAGGCGCGATCTGAGTGGACTTCAAGTTGCCTTTCGTACTGTTGCAGAGCTGCTGCACCTGTATTCTTTTCCTCGTCTTCTCCTCCCCCCCATCTTTCCCCCCTCCCCGCGTTCACCAGAGTGTGTGCACGGCACGTATGAGCGCCACCTGCTGGCCCTACTGTATCCTGCACCCATATCCCCCCTCCCCACCACCCCTCCCCTTCTCGCTTCCCCCCTGCCCCCACCAGAGTGTGTGCACGGCACGTACGAGCGCCACCTGCCATCCATTCTGGCGGGGGGTTTGAGTCGCATGAACCGGCAGCACGTGCACCTCACCAAGGGGGTGCCCTCGCAGCACCACTCGGTTGTCAGCGGTACGCTGCTCTCCTCCCACCCACCTCCCCTGACGCTTGAGACGTTTTCAGATGTCTCACTAAGGGAGTCCCCGCCCCCCTTTTTTTTCTCATCAAAATTTATTGTTTTGGTTTTTTTTTTTCCTTTTTTTTTTTCCCCTTTTTTCTTTTTCTTATCTGCTATTTGGATCTCCCGACTGCTGTCATCAGCACCTCTCGGTGCCCTTCAGCACCTCACTTGTTAGGCCACGTTTCAGCACCTCACTTGTTAGGCCACGTTTCAGCACCTCACTTGTTAGGCCAGGCTTCAGCACCTCACACCTCACCTGCCGTTTCCCTCTTGTCCACACACCCCTCACCCCTCGCCCCTCTGCTCCAGGCTTCCGTTCAAACGCAGAGGTGCTAGTGGTGGTGGACGTGGGTCGCGCCATGGCAGGTGGGGTGTTGCGTTACCGACATGGAAGTGTGGTAGGGGGGAGTGTGGTGAGAGGTGGGTGTGGTGCCACGTGGGATGGGTATGGGCGGAGGTGCTGGTGGTGGTGGACGTGGGTCGCGCCATGGCAGGTGGGTGGCATGTGGCATGTGATGGAAGGTGGCATGTGATGGAAGGTGGCATGTGATGGGAGGTGGCATGTGATGGGAGGTGGCATGTGATGGGAGGTGGCATGTGATGGGAGGTGGCATGTGATGGGAGGTGGCATGTGATGGGAGGTGGCATGTGATGGGAGGTGGCATGTGATGGGAGGTGGCATGTGATGGGAGGTGGCATGTGATGGGAGGTGGCATGTGATGGGAGGTGGCATGTGATGGGAGGTGGCATGTGATGGGAGGTGGCATGTCATGGGAGGTGGCATGTGATGGGAGGTGGCATGTGATGGGAGGTGGCATGTCATGGGAGGTGGCATGTGATGGGAGGTGGCATGTGATGGGAGGTGGCATGTCATGGGAGGTGGCATGTCATGGGAGGTGGCATGTGATGGGAGGTGGCATGTCATGGGAGGTGGCATGTCATGGGAGGTGGCATGTCATGGGAGGTGGCATGTCATGGGAGGTGGCATGTCATGGGAGGTGGCAAAGACTACAGTAGCGATGTATGGCATGGTATCCCTGATGGTATGGGATCTCATATGAAAGGGCAAGTGGCAGTTTTTAGTAGAGATTACCATTTCTCATATTTGAGGTACATTATATTCGAATTACTGTAACCTCAAAACAGCCAACCTTATTTCCTTCTTGAGGGATGAAGGGCAGGGATAATTTTTTACACATCTGTGTGTGTGTGTGTGTGTATGTGTGTGTGTGTGTGTGTGTGTGTGTGTGTGTGTGTGTGTGTGTGTGTGTTTGTGTGTCTGTTTGCGCGCACGCATGTGCACGGCTGGGAATGGCTCTTTTCCCCTCCCACTCTCCCCTCCCCAGACGGCATGCCATTCTTCGAGTCCGACAATGGGGTCATCCTCACCTCGGGCGACATCCCTCCAACATGCCTCTTTGCTCTGGTTCGAACGGCCCTTTCCTCCCCACCTTCACCTGCTTCCTTCCATGTCCATGCCCCCTCCCTTCCTCTTCCCTCCTCCCCCTTTCCCCCAGACGGCATGCCATTCTTTGAGTCAGACAACGGGGTCATCCTCACATCTGGCTTCCACGGCTACATCCCCCCAGCCTACTTCGCCTCCATCCTCAAGTGGCCCTCACTCCTCCCTCACCCTCTCTCCCCTCCTCCTCCCCATCCTCCCCATCCCTCTCCACCTGCCCTCGCTCCCGTTCCCCCTGCTGCCTCTGCTGCGGCCTGCGCGGGGGAAGCAGCGGGGCCGTGTTTAGACCCGAATATGGGGGGGGTTGCTGTACTTGGACTGAATGTTTCGGAGGAAGGGTGTACGCCCGTGCCTCCTGCTGCGTCGGCGGCTGTGTGCGTGGGGGAGGCGAGTGTGAGGAGTGATGGGGGGGGCATGGGGGATGAGGGGGTGGGTGGGACCGCAGAGTCGGGGAGAGGGGAGGTGGGCGGGTCGAATGAGGATGAGGAGATGGTGGGATGATGGGGGGAGGGGATGGGGAGGAGGATGGGGAATGAAGGAGGGAGCGATGGGGGGGGGATGGGGGATGAGGGGGAGGGTGGGACGGCGGAGTTGGGGACAGGGGAGGTGGGCGGGTCGAATGAGGATGAGGAGATGGTGGGATGATGGAGGGAGGATGTGAGGAGCCGGATGGGGGATCAAGGAGGGAGGAGATGAGGAGATGGTGGGATGATGGAGGGAGGAGGTCAGAAGATTGTGGGATGATGGAGGGAGAAGATGAGGTCATGGTGTGGTGTAAGAGAAAGATAAGGTGATGGTGGGATGTTATGATGATGGTGGGATGGAGAGGGAAGGAGGGATGGACACACTGAGACTAAAGAATGGTGGATTTAGGACTAACAGGAGGGGATGAGATGGGAAGGGAAGGGCTGACAGGACAGGAGCGAGACAGCATCTACTGTAGGTAGCTCATTTCCTGCTAACCTCACCAGAGCTCTGTTTATGGCGAAGTCAATTATATAGATGCATGCTGGATGAACTTGTACGATAATTACATTTCGATTTTCTATGTATGTGCTGTTTTCTAATACGTAATTTCAGTGCATTATCATACTCCTATCTCAGAAATGTAGGCCTCTGTGAATTTGGAGTAATCTCAGCGTTGGTTGGTACTGAATAGCCCCGGCAGAATACAGTGTACCAATCGATAAGGGCCAACTCGTTACTGTAATATGGAAGGAGTGAGCAAGATAATCAAATATGCCTTTGTACAAGCAAAGCAGTCACAATCTGTATCAAATTACAATTTACAAAAAAAGGCGATAATATAATACAAGCAAAAGAAATAAACACAACTGTACAGTGGACCTCAGCCGATCCAGGCAACAGGCACAACAAATGCGCTGGGATGCTGGGATCGCCTTGGGATTGCCTTGGGACGCTTGGACGCGCTGGGATGCCTGGGATCGCCTTGATGCTGCCTTGCCTTCTTGTGACACTCACGTCCTTGCCATCAGCACCATTCTCCCACGGCCCAGGCCTCTTTATTTCCATCAACACCCCTGTCCTCTCACACATCTCTGTTCTCTTCTGTCCTTTTATGTAGGTATAATATCCCCTTGTACTGCACACCTCTCCTGCTGCACTTTACACCCGCCTCTTCTGCTGCTCCCAGCTGCACTCTCCTGCTGCCCGGCCATCTCCCATGCTCTTCGCATGTCTCCTACACCCCCTCTCAAATCGAGTCATCCCGGCCCTCTCCCATCCCCCCCTGCCCTGCCCTCCTCATCCTCTTCTCCCTCCCCAACCTCCTCTCCCTCCTCAGCGCACTTAAAGCCCCCAGAAACCCTGCGCTGCACCCACCATCCCTCTCCCTGTCTCTTCTCCGTTTCTCCCCAACACCCTGCCTCTGCCTGCTGCCACTACTTGCGTGGCAAGGCAGGGTCTCAGAATCAGGTGATTCCGGGGTTTCAAACCGAGGGGATATGGGAGTTTCAGAGTCGCCCTTGCTCGCTGCAACCCTCTGCAGCTCCCCACCGCCCTGGCTTTGCTTGGTGATGCTGCCCGCGTGGCTTAGGTTACGCAGCAGAGGGAGTGGGGGCAGGCACAGGTGCGGGCTGCCGAACCTGCTTGCCGAACCTGGGTAGCCGGGGCTGCATGGAGCGGTTTTATCCTGATGCTCAGGCTTCCCCTGTTGCTGGTACTGCTGTTGGTGCAGCTTCTGCTGCTGCCGGTGCTGGTAAAAATCCAACGGTGGTTGCACTCGTAGCCTCTGCTGCTGCTGTTGCTGCTGTCTCTTGTGCTGCTGCAGCGGCTCTTCCTGCTTCACTCCCCCCCCCTGCACCTGCTCACTCTTCACCACTCTGCGTGCTCCTTTCTTCTCACCACAATCCACCTTACCCTCCCGGCAATGATTCTTCTCCCCCGCTCTGCACCCCAAGCACAGGAAGCTCATGGGGGCAGGCGCAGCGTCGCCGATCCCAGCGCAGCGGGTGTGCTGCCACACGCCGCACTCATCACACGCGATCATGCGCTCGCCGTCGTCGTCCCGCGCACCGCACACGCACCGTACGGCCCACGTGTCGTTGCCGCCCTCGTAGCGCCACTCGCTGTGCGCATCAAGGCTGGAGATGGCGAGCAGCAGAGAGGCGCCCGAGTCGAGCGAGCCAAAGAGCACGTCGTCCTCGTCCAGATCTTCAAGGTCCGTGGGCAGAGCAGTGACCTGCGACCAAAAACAAGAGAGGGTTGAGTGGAGGTGAGAGAGGAGTAGGAGAGCAGCAGAGAGGCGCCCGAATCGAGCGAGCCAAAGAGCACATCGTCGTCGTCCAGGTCAGCCAGGTCAGCGGGCAGAGCTGTGACCTGCGGACAAGGCAGACAGGGAGTTACAGGTGAGAGGTATAGGTCAGCGAGCAGCAGGGAGCAAGCGAGCCAGAGAGCACATCGTCGTCATCCAAGTCCTCAAGGTCAGCGGGCAGAGCTGTGACCTGCGCACAGGGACAACGAGAGGGTTGGGTGGAGGTGAGAGAGGAGTAGGAGAGCAGCAGAGCGGCGCCCGAGTCAAGGGAACCAGAGAGCACATCGTCGTCATCCAGGTCTGAGAGGTCTGCTGGCAGAGCTGTGACCTGCGCACAGGGAGGAGAGGGAGGAGGGGGAGGAGAAGGAGGAGAGGGAGGAGAGGGAGGAGAAGGAGGAGAGGGAGGAGAGGGAGGAGAAGGAGGAGAGGGAGGAGAGGGAGGAGAAGGAGGAGAGGGAGGAGAGGGAGGAGAGGGAGGAGAGGGAGGAGAGGGAGGAGAGGGAGGAGAGGGAGGAGAGGGAGGAGAGGGATGAGAGGGAGGAGAGGGAGGAGAGGGAGGAGAGGGAGGAGAGGGAGGAGAGGGAGGAGAGGGAGGAGAGGGAGGAGAGGGAGGAGAGGGAGGAGAGGGAGGAGAGGGAGGAGAGGGAGGAGAGGGAGGAGAGGGAGGAGAGGGAGGAGAGGGAGGAGAGGGAGGAGAGGGAGGAGAGGGAGGAGAGGGAGGAGAGGGAGGAGAGGGAGGAGAGGGAGGAGAGGGAGGAGAGGGAGGAGAGGGAGGAGAGGGAGGAGAGGGAGGAGAGGGAGGAGAGGGAGGAGAGGGAGGAGAGGGAGGAGGGGGAGGAGAGGGAGGAGAGGGAGGAGAGAGAGAGCAGCGGAGGAGGGCAAGGCTAAGCGTGGTAGGAGTAAAGCGGTGTAAAGCCGTATCGGATAAACAAGGAGCAGAGCAGCACATCGCATACACGGGATCTAGCACACTTGGCATGCGACTACCCACCCACAGGACAGACCTAGACTGGTGCCGTACCTGCATGTGCCGAGCCACAGGGTAGGTCTGGGCGAAGGCTCGGCAGGCAGCAACCTTGAGGTCAGCAACGGTTGCTTCGGGCGGCAAGGTTATGAGCTCCGGCGGAGGTATGGGCCAGTTGCGATTGGTGTCTGCATCCCGTGCATCGATGCTGGTGGGTGGGAAGGGGAGAGAAAAAAGGGAGGGGCATGAAAGGAAGAACAGAAATTTGGAACTGGGATTAAAGGGAGATGAATCAGCAGCATGACAGACGGTAAGAGCTCTATGAAACAAAACCACTGCACCAGATAAGGCCTGCACAGCAAATTACCTGCAGAGCACTCGAATCGTCCCATCCTCGTCTTCGCTCGCTGCCTCTGTAACAACGCCATCCCTCCCCTCTACCCCCTCTCCCCCTGCAGCAGCAGCAGCAGCCCGTGCTGCTTGCTCCCTGGTCAGCTCGCCCTTGTAGTCCTTAAAGAACTGCTTTGTATCGAGTATGGTTTGCACAGCTTCAGAGAAAGCAGAGAGGGAGAACTCCGAGGCTGCTTCTGTGTGATTCTCCTGCTGCTCCTGCTCATGCTGTTGCTTGTGCTCCTGGTGGCGCTGCTGCTGGCGCTGCTGCAGCTTTTGTTGCGGGTGGCAGTGGCTGTGCGCGGATGTGACAGTAAAGAGCAGGTGCTTGTAAAGGAACTCCACGTCTCGAGTCACATCAGCCCTGGTGAAGGGCGCTGAAGTCAGCACAGCAGGACTCACAGCCGCCGCCACTGCCCCTGCGGCTGATGCTGCAGCCAGTGCTGCTGCTGCTCCTGCCCCTGCTGCTGTCCCTGTTGCTACCTCATCCCCTTGATGGTTGCTTCCCAAGCAAGAGCTCCTAAACGTAGGCTCGATCGACCGCCTTAGACCCCCTTCTGAGCTAGCAACCCCACCCAGACTAAGAGGCGATTCAAGCCCCATCCGCACCCCTCCTTGCTGCCCCTCCATTTCCCCTCTCCGCTCCTCCCCAATCACCCCCTCCCTCCCCTCCCCCCCCTCTCCCCCACCCCTCTCCCCGCCCTCCCGCTGCAGAGGCTCTAAGCTAAACTCCAGCACTTTACTAAGCGGGTTAATCGCTCTCCGCACCACCACATCCCCCACCAGCCTGTTCCCCAGCGACTTCAGCACAAAATCCAATAACCCCGTGTCGCCGATCCTCTGCCGAGCCGCCTCCCGAACCTCGTGCCGAGGCAGCCAGGCGCCGGGGCGGAGGGAGAGCACGTCCACAATCACCTGCTGCGCCAGGTGGAGGCGCTTGGACGACCAGCGGCACGAGGGGGAGTCGGCTGGCAGCGGGCTGATTATGATGGGCTCGTTGCAGAGAAGGCGCCTGGAATAGTCCCCTGCTGCTGCCGCTGCCGCTGCTGCTGGTGCCGGTGCTGCTGTGACTGGTGTTGCTGGTGTTGCTCCTGCTGCTGATCCTGCCAAAGCGCTGCTGATGGGGCTGTCAAGGAAGAGGAGGGTTCGCTTGCTCCTGGGAGTGACAGCACTGGGAGTGACTGTACCGGGCGTGATTGTAGAGGGGGTGGCGACGCTGGCAGATGGAAGGACGTCCATTTGTTGGTAGCTGATTGGTGGAACCGGGGATGGCAGAGCCTGCTGCTGCTGCTGACGCAGCAGGCGCTGCTGCTGCTGACGTGGCGACAGCTCGTCGGACAAGCAGGACGCGGAGGTAGGGCTGGGCTCGCCCGACAGCTGGCGTGCTGCCATTGGCTGCAGCGGCGGGAAGAGCGGGGGGAGGGTGAGGGGCGGCGGGGGGGCGAGGAGGCGACGAGCGGAGAAGGAGAGGAGGGGAGAGCGGGAGGAAGCAAAAGAGGGGAGAGCAGCTAGCGGCGCTGCTGCTGCAGCAGGAGTAGAGGGAGCAGTGGGAGGAGCAGGGGTAGTGGGAGTGAAGGGGAGAGGGAGAGCGGACGGGTGGAGGAGGTGGGGGAAGTGGTAGTGCTGGTGGTGCAGTGGGAGGGGGAGGGAGGAGCGCAGGGCGAGAAGGGATGAGAAGAGGTGCTGCAGGGTGAGGTTGGGTGGAGCAGCATGTGGGCCATGCGGGCCGTGCGGGGCATGAAGAGCATGTGAGGCATGTGGGTGGGGATAGTCAACCTCCTCTGCGCCATGTGAAACATGTGGCTGGTATTCACCCTGAGGCTGACACTTAGCTGACAGCACGTGCGACTGATACTTAGCAACCACCGCCGCAACACGGGAGGCAATCCCGGTGTTGATGCCCCGCAGGTGCTGCAGCAGCGGGAGCAGGCGTGTGCCGGCCACACGCGCCACAGCTCGGCTATAGCGCTGCTGCGTGATGCCAAAGGCGCCGTGGGCGAAGGAGTAGGCCCAGCGGGCGAACCAGGAGTGCGAGAAGGCGAGCGTGTGGAGGAGGCGATAGTCGGAGGAGAAGGAGAGCTTGTGAGATAGATCCTCCACACTCACCACCCTGTGATGATGGCCAAGGAGGTGGGGGATGGGAGCGAATGGGGAGGGAAGGGGGAGTTGGGGAGGAATTGGGAGAGAGGGAGAGGGGAAAAAGAAGGGAAAACAGAGGATGAACAACAGGGCAGGCAGTGGGGGAAGGAGCAGCCCCAGCGGGCGAACCAGGAGTGTGAGAAGGCGAGGGTATGGAGGAGGCGATAGTCGGATGAGAAGGAGAGCTTGTGAGATAGGTCCTCCACACTCACCACCCTGTCATGGTTGCATGCAGGGAAGGGAGTGGGGAGTGGGGAGTGGGGAGGGATCGGGGAATGGGGGAGGGATTGAGAGGGAGGGAGGGGGGAAAAAGGGGGCCAACAGACGATGAGCTACGTGGTAGGCCGTGGGCGAAGGAGTAGCCCCAGCGGGCGAACCAGGAGTGCGAGAAGGCGAGCGTGTGGAGAAGGCGATAGTCTGATGAGAAGGAGAGCTTGTGCGATAGGTCCTCCACACTCACCACCCTGTCATGGTTGCAGGTAGGATAGGAAGGGAGGGAGTGGGCAGTGGGGAGGGATTAGGGAGGGAAGGAAGGAGAAATGGGGAGAAGAGTGGGGCAGGGAGGTTGAGAATGCTACTGGGAAAGTGCCACAAGGTTACTTCTGTTTCGGATAAAAAACTAGCTTTTTACCTTGCGCGCAGCATGGTGCAAATGTTGTCCCACAGTTGCATGAGCTGCCGCCCGGACAGCACATGCGAGCCCGCCGCCCGGCCGATGAGCATCACGAGGTGGCCGAAGCCGTTGGCATGGATGACGCCGTGCAGGAGGTGCGTGGGGGAGGCGAGCGACTGCGAGCGGCACGCCGCAGCCGTGATGCTCGTGTGGTGGTGCTGGTGCTGGTTGTGGTGGGAAGAGGGGTGGGGGTTGCTGGTACTGGTGGTGCTGCGCGTGCCATGTGGACTGATGTTACTGGCTGTGGTTGCGAGCACCTGTGACTGAAATGACGGGAGATGAGCCAGAGGGGAGGAGCGGGAGAAGGGGAGAGGAATTTGAGAGGTAGACAGCAAATGGTTGCGTGTTTTTCCAAAGCGGCTGAAGCAGCGGGTGAAGTAAACAAGGGGGGAGTGGTTACCTCGGCGCGAGGGTGCGAGTGCGGGTTCTTGGCAGGAATGATGAAATGATACTTGTGCGCCGCGATGGGGTGGTGACACCAACCTGCAAGTTGGAAAGGCAGGGAGGGGGTGGGGAGCGCAAGGGGGGAGGGAGAGAGTGGGCGTGAGTGCGGGTTCTTGGCAGGAATGGTGAAATGATACTTGTGTATAGCGATGGGGTGGTGACACCACCCTGCACATGGCGCAAGCATAGTGGGGGGAGGAGGAATGGGGGGGCAGAGTGAGAGGGAGCGCGGGTTGAGGCACGACGAGAGCATTTTACATGGCATGAAGCTGGTGGGTGATAAGAGAAGGGCATGTGGCGGAAGGCTGGGAATACTGGACTCTCAACATGACGCACACAGCTCCTCTTCTAATCAACACCTCAACAATTCAACACCTCAACACCTCAACACCCTTGCGCCGCGCCTCTAACTTCCGCCAACCCCGTTCCCCCCATCCCACCATCCGCCCCCAACACTTTGCCCACAGCATCTCCCCCCCCCAACCACCCCGCCCCCGCCCGCCCTGCCGTTTCCCCCACGCGCGGATCCATACCTGAGCTGCGGCAGTAGTCGCAGTGCGGATTGGCGGACCCTTCAGTCGCTTCCGCCACCAGCAGCAGCGGCAGCAGCACCTGCTGCGCCGGATGCGCCGCCCCCTGAAGCTGCGCCTGCTGCTGTGTCGCATGCGCCGGCCCCAGAAGCGCCGAATGTTCCGCGGGAGCCGCAGTTGCGTACAGCGCGCCCGCCGCGGAGTTCCCCGCACTGGGTTCTGGCGCGGAGCTAACATCCCCGCGGGCTTGAGCGCGCGGAGTGGCGGGAGGCGGCGGGCTGCGCGCGGACGGGGAAAGCGGATCCGCGGAAACCGCAGAAGGAGGTGGGTGCGATAGCGCCTCGAAAGGCGTAAACGACGGCTGAGAATACGCTTCGGCGCGAGTGACGGTGAGAAGCAGGCTCCACGTCGGATGGCCCTCGATGCTGCCACACGCGCGCGAAGTAGGGAGAAGGGCGAATGGGGAAGGGAGAAGGGGAAAGGAAAGAGTGGGAAAGACATTATGGCATCACTGCGAGAAGCGGAAGGCCGAGGCGGAGAGGAAGGCGGAGGCGAAACGGAAGGTGCGAACTGGAATCTGAGAGGAGGGAACTCGAGGCTAAGTTTTCAATGCGGCAAAAATAACTTCAAAAATTAAATAAAAAAACGCAGCGAAATTAATCCTGCTTATACAAGGCTGCGAGCCCACCACCAAGACGGCAGGTAAGTTCGTACCCCTCGGGTTCGCGCTGCATGACGTCACCAGCGAGCGCCGTCACATTGTCGCGAAACGCGCCGCGGTATTCCGCCGGGTAGCCCGGCTCGCCGAATCTTAGAGCCGCGTAGGTCGCGCGCGGTACAGCGGCGCAGTCAGCGGACGCCGCCGCCCCTCGGATTGCGGCGCCGCGAGTGGCCGCCATGTCCGCCCTTCTAGATGCACCGCGAGTGGCCGCGTGAGACGCCGACGACGTACACGATCGCCGCGGCTTCGTCAAGCAGCGTCGTGACGGCGGAGGTGGCAGTGGCGGCGCCGGGTCATCGCAGCCAGTAGTACGGCTGTACAAATTGCCGACATCGTCCGGCGCCGCCTCACGCCGCGGCGCCAACTGCGGCATCTGCTGCTGGCGGCCAGCGAAATTCAATCCCGAGCTCCAGCCGCCGCCAGCAGCATTCGACGAAGCTTCCTCGGAGTTAATATGGTACACTTCACCAGGCTCCATCGTCATCGCGCCGCGATGCTCCGATATAAGCTCAACCGTAAGCGACTCCATCTGCGCCAAATCTCTCGTTTTAGGCGCCGGCGTCGGGTGCTCCCCGCAGCTCGGCTCGACGCGCATCGCGGATGCCTGGCCGCTGCTCGGCGCGCAGATTGGCTGGCAGCCTGGAGTGCTCGGCGCGCATTCCTGCCAGCAGCTCGGCGCATAGTTCGGCGTACATTTCGGCGCAGAGTTCGGCGCAGAGTTCGGTGCGCAGCACGCCTGGAGGTGACGAGGGTAGAAATCACCAGCTTGACCTTTGAACCGTTTCAAATCGGGCTCGATGAAGGCACCGGTACTTCTGGCGCTTTGCCACGTGGCGGAACACGCGAGCTGCGGAATATGGAGCAGTGCCGGCTGCGGCGTCAGCTGGGGCAGAACCAGCAGGCGGGACGACGACGATGGCGACGAAGACGGCGACGACGGCGACGACGCTGGCGACGGCGGCGACAACTGCGGGTCGCACCTCTCAGCAGCAGCCGTAGAAATGTACCCGTTGAAGCCCTCGTCAACCTCGCCGTCGCGTATATCCACCTCGCCCTCGCTCTTCGCCCTCACCGCAGGCGCCGCAGTCGCCGCAATCGCCGCAGATCCAACAGCAGTCTCGTCGTTAAACGCCGCGACGCCCATCTGAAACTCAATCGTCTCCTGAAGGCTTTCGAGCGAGCTGCTCTCTGGGCCTAGTAGGTCCTCTATCTTCACGTTGCACGGCTGAATTAGAATTCGCCGATTCTGATCCTCGAGCAGAGCCCGTCCAGTTGACGCCGACTCCTCTCGCTGCCGCTTGTTTCCGCGATGAGGGCTCTTCGTGAATGTTTGGGATGGAAGAGGCGGTGCTTCAGCGGATTCGATAATAATGTCCTTGTTAGTGCGAGGCCCGTTAAGAGATTCGCACTGGAGAAGCAGCGACGCCATTTCCACGACCTCCTCGTCGGATATGTGGTCTTCCGTGCTCGACGTGCCGCATTCGGCGGGCTGCCATAAATCTAGCTGCTGCACTGAGCATGGCGCCACCGCTGCTGTGTGCTGCGACCCAGACGACATCCAAAGCACCATTTTCGTAACTGGGAACGGGTTGTTTATGACTACAGGCTTCGCTGGTGAAAAAACTGCTCGGATTCTGCTGTTCGCTGGTTTTTTTTCCTTCTCTCGATTAGTTTCCGTCCCTAATTCGGGCAGTTTAGCTTCCAGGCTGTGGCTCACAGACCATTCCCGAGAATGCGTCGAGAAATGACGAAACTGAACGGCTAACTGGACGACTGAGGACGGAGGAGCGAGGGAAGTGTATTGGAGGTAGGTGCGGTAGGGTAGGCTGAGTGAGTCACCACCAGCTACCAGGGTCCATCAAGCAAGCATCGACAATGTCGGAGACGCAAACACCATCGAGGTGATATGGAGAGAGAATCGGGTTCATAAAGCAGGCCGGCCTTCATTTGTGTGTTTCGGAGAAGGAAATGGGTCGGGTGCGGGGCAAGGCATCGAGAGTTACGAATAGCTGGGGAGGGCAGGTTTGTCATTTTGAGGGAGTGTGGTGGCCAGGCAAAATGCTGAGCCGACATTTTGCGATTGCGTGACTGAGGAGAAGCAAAACCGAGGCTGGCGGGGCGGACGGTGGAGAGGGGAGGAGAGGAGAGAAGGTGACATGCGATGTGTGGCTGACGGAAAACCCAGGCCGCGGAGGCGGAAGGGGCATGTGGCGTGGCGGCATAACCGAGCAGGGTTGGGGGGGGGTTAGGAGGTGGGGGAACCGAACCGAAACACCACAGGGAGCGGGAGGGGATCTCCCATTGCGCAAGCACTGCAGCAAAGCAGAGTGCCGCACGAGGGTGGGGCAGAGCTCGAGGCGAGGTAAAGCTTCGGAAGCAGGCTCCTTGACTCATTGGACACTCCGTCAGATTCCGTTAGTGAGGCGATTGACGACAGGTCAGACCGCCCCCACTACCACGTGGAAAGTCCCTACTGGTGAACAGCACCTGCAAGAATTCCGAGAATGGCAGTCAGCCAGCAACTAACCGAGTTGTCCATCCCGTGCCTCGCAACGATATTTTCACATGCACAGCCTTGCGGCATGCCCCGCTCCTGCGGAACTATGAAGTGTGTGTAACTGTTGCGCGCAAGCTCACAGATTTCCTTGCGCTGCTGGCCAGTGAGGTTGCTCCCCTCCCATAGACCTCGGGGAAGGCACTCAGCACAGCAACGCAAATCTGCCTTTTCGGAAACGCAAGTGCCAGCGGTGGTCGGTTATTGCAACCACAGCCACATCTGCCCGGAAGCATCATTGTCGCATGTGGAGCAGAGTGCCTGCCATGGCATGGCAGGAATTGGTTGAAAAGGTCTCCACTCCAAGCAAACTGGCACTTGAAAGGAGACAAATTTCACTTCATTTCTGATTTGTTTTGTTTTTTTCTAGAAGCCCGAACTGGCATCACACGAGCTGGACAGCTTGATAAGTAAATTCTGTGCTCCACAAAGCAGAAAATGTGCCAGTCAATTAGACTACACCGCTACTGAAGGAAACTCTGAGATGCAGTTTGCCAAGGGTGCCCTGCCCTAGCTCCTTGAGTGGTTCCAAGTTCAATCAAACACAGGAAGGAAGCCTTCATGCGGAAACGGCTCAGCTCAGCATGCAGGGCGTAAGTCGTGACATAGCTTGAAATTACAGAACTGGTGCAATGATTGATGAATGGTGTTCGCTCGTGTGTGCTCGTTAAAAAAATCGTTGCAGTCTCTGGCTGAGGAGGCGTATAGACTGGGTGTACTTAACTCGATTGATACGCTTTTAGCCGAAACAAATTGGACTGTAAATAAGTACCTCTGAGTAAATTACTTGTCAACCACGCACTTGCATTGCAATGAAAGCAGCTTGAGTGATAGAAATTTAACTCTAATATTTTATGGTCCATGAAGATTTTTTATTGCTGTACGTTAAGACTAATTCATTTATACAGTAGCATACCCTTCAAACTTCTGGGAGCTGCAAACAATAAATTTATCAACTTATATATAGGCACATGCTAATAGCAAAGCAGATGGTGTAGCCTAGACTACCATGCTCCAAGACCAGAGGAAACTGAACTGTTGGCATGTCCAAACTGGCTAACCTCCCAAAATATTGGAGGTTTCGAACCACGGTGGCAGCCGCAACGGTGCACAGCGAGGGTAGACGAGCCGAACCAACATGCGAGAAGGTAGGGGGAATCTCATCTCTACGACTCTGGCGGCGCGGTGCCTGCCAAGGAAAGGAAGGATTCTCTGTGTGCGGTGCGGACGAGAAAGCGCATGCCAGGCCCGAATGGGTTTTATTTTTGCCCGCGGGCAGTGCAGTAGAGAACTTAACTAAATTTCTCTTGAAGTTTGTGATAACAATAAAACAGATCGCGGTTCACGCGATCATAGGCTCGCCACGTGGCAAAAATAAATAAAACCGCGCTTCCGCGAAATAGAGCAAAATTCTCAAGCGCGGGAGACTGACGGGCAGGTGGCAGCAGCTCCCACAACCTCACAAAACTCCGACCCTGGAACCACAAACCAGCCTCACCTGCCCCGCCCAATCTGCTTGTACGCGTTATCTTGTCAACCGTTACATGACGAGAAGCCTCGTCTGGTAACATGCGCAACACAAACCCCCATCCCCCAGCCCACCCCAACCCCTCACATCTCATCCTCCTCTGCTCCTCCAAAACCCCCTCACTCTCTGTTCTCGATCCCTGTTCTCTAGTAGCCTTCTCCTCAATCCTCAACCGTTTCCTTCTGCCTTTTCTCAGCTCTTTCCAGCCCGGAAGCGGGTCTTAGTAACCCAGCCATGGCGAAGTCAGCATGGGGATCCAAATCCTGGGCAGATGATGTCGAGGGGGGGGAGGAGGAGCTTCCTCCTCCCGCCTTTCCGGAGCTCGCGCAGGCGGCATCTAAGCCTTCCGATGACGCCTTTCCGACGCTCGGCCAGGCGGCAGCGAAGCCGCAGAAGAAGAAGAAGGAAAAGGTAACGCTCTCTCTTTCAGAGTTCACGACTGGCGCGTATGTCGGTCCCGGAGCGCGATCCAGGACTACTATAGTGGAGGACGTTAAGGGGCTCACGTTCCAGGAGAAGATGGCGCTCCCGACGGGGCCTAGGGAGCGCAGCGAGGACGAGGAAAGCGGCGGATTAGGCGGCGGGTTCCGCGGGTATGGGGGCTTCCGCGGCGGCGACAGGGGAGGCGGTCGCGAAGGTCGCGATGGTCGTCGCGAAGATCGCGAACGGCCACCGAGGGAGGACGACGGGCCGTCTCGGGCAGACGAAGTGGACAACTGGGCAACGACGAAAAAGTTTGTGCCGTCTGGTGACGGCGGCAGGTCTCGCGGCGGCCGGTACGAAGACGACGGCGGCCGTCCAGGGCGTGACGGTCCGTCAAGGGCCGACGAAGTCGACAACTGGGGCGCAACGAAGAAATTTCAGCCGTCTCAGTCTATGGACGGCCGCGGGGATCGCGGGGATCGCGGCGACCGCATGGGCGGCCCGTCACGTGCCGACGAAACGGACAACTGGGGCGCCGCGAAGAAGTACGTCCCTTCCGCGTCCATGGGCGGCGGCGGCAGCCGCGGAGGGTTCGGCGGGCGAGGAGGCGGCGGAGGATTCGACGATCGTGACGGCGCACGTGCGGATGACGTGGACAACTGGGGCGCGGCGAAGAAGTTCGTGCCGTCCGGTAGCCGGGACGGCAGGCGGGACGGACCCAGGGACGGCCCGCGGGAAGGGTTCGAGGCGGACCGCTGGGGGAAGGAGTCCCGCGACGAGCGCCCGTCGGAGCGCCCGCGCCTGAATCTCCAGCCGCGCAAGCCTGTCGCAGAGGGCGAGGGCGGAAGCGCGGGGAGCGCGGAGGATGCGAACAAGCCCAAGAAGCCGAGCCCGTTCGGGGAGGCGCGCCCGCGCGAGCAGGTTCTGGCGGAGAAAGGCATCCCCGTTGCGCCCGACTCCCCTTCCGCCAGCGGCGCAGCGGCGGAGCCAGCGGCGGAGGTGAAGGCGTCTAAGCCGGCGGTGAACCCGTTCGGGGAGGCGAAGCCGCGGGAGGTTGCGCTGGAGGAGCGCGGAATGGATTGGCGGAAGATGGATCTGGAGCTGGAGCATAAGGGCGTTGACAGGTGCGTATTACCGAGGAACTTTTTAACGCGTATGAAACATGAGCGTGAACACAATGGGGTTGTGAGGTGTGTAACAATGATGTTCAAACAAGAACAGCGATAACGCTTTAGAGGTCTCTGCTGTCGGATTTTATGGGAAGAAGCATCAAGGGCGAGCCTTCAATTTCGTTTGACGTCTGTAGAGCAGTGAGATTGGATTCACAGATACTAAACGGTTAGCTCGGTCCCATCACTGCGGATATGCGGTTTAGAAGCTTCGTGGTTCCCACGAGGCTTTTCGTTAAGGACCTTGCCACGTAGAATCACGAGGACATCACTATTAGGTTTGCAGTCGAATCGTCTCTCGGCGTGTTGAGATTCGAAACCTGGAGATCACTGGACAGCACTGTTGTAAGTTTCGATTCGCGACGCTGCTTTTGAGTCGACTCAACGGTCACCTCGTTTTCGAGTGGACTCGGTACAGAATCAGGAGATTACCGCGCATCGCTGTTTGATTTTGGGAAGTTAACACAGTGTCGAGGGACTCAACATGCGAAGCAGAATGTGCTTTGCGAGGGTTCAGGGCTTTCCAGACTTTTGCGCGAGCCTGTTCTTTAATTCGAGAGCGCAGAGTGGGTCTGCTTATGTCGGGGATGACGGTGAATGTCTAGAACTGACTGGACACCGGTTAACGGAGTGCCTGTCAGCTGGTGGTTTCGTTCCCTTCTCCCCTCCCTCCCTGACTCCCTCCCCTTCTCCCCTCACTACCTTTCCTCCCCTCACTCCCCTCCTCTCCCCTTGCTGCATTTGGCGGTATTCTTCTCTGCCTTTTTGCAGACCCGAGACGGAAGAAGAGAAGAAGCTTCGCGAGGAGGTCGACGCGCTTGCCGCGAAGCTTCAAGCCGCCACGGGCAAAGGGGGAGCCAAGGCGGAGAAGGCGGGTGAGGGTACGGGGGAAGAGGAGACCAAGACAGAGGATGAGACGAGCGCGGCGGCACCTGAGCTTTCACCTGAGGAAGTTTCGGCCTTGGAGAAGGAAGTTGCGGAGAAGCGGCGGCAGCTGGAGCAGCTGGTGTTAGAGCTTGACGCGAAGGTTAAGTACGCGCAGAAACAGGCGAGAGAGAAGCAGGCGGGAGATAAGGAGGCTGGCGCGGCGGGAACAGAAGGGGCTGTAAAAGAAGGAGCAGGGGGAGGAGCAGGAGGGGACGGGGCTGCTGCTGGTGGTGGTGGTGCTGGTTCTGCGCCGTTGGCGAATGGGAATGCGTGGGGCGGGGGTGCGAGGAGAGGCGGGGACGCGTGGCGGAGCAACACTGTTGCGAGCGGGGAGGGCGCGGGCGCGGGCAAGGGGGACGCGTGGCGCGGCGGCAGCAGGAGCACCGCGGGGCCGGGCAGGGACGCGGGGGAGGCGCAAGGCAGGCCCGCGCAGCGGACGGGCGGGTGGTAGGGCGGACGGGCGGGTGATGCGGCGGACGACTGGGTGGTGGGGCGGAGGGGCGGATGGTAGGGCGGACGCGCGGGTGGTAGGGCGGCAGATGGGGGGATGGAGATGGGGGAAGGGTAAATTACGGAATGGCAGGGCGGTGCTGAGGACGGGTGATGGATGGGCCTGTGAGGGAATTCTCTGAGGGACACGGCCAAGCTGCAAGCCACGCCGGCACAGAGGGTTGGCGGGTGTTAGGGCAGGTCTAGGGGGAAAAGTGGAAGATTGCATGGGGCACAGGTGGGAGGAGGTGGGTGGCTGTGCCTGGTGGCTATGGGTGGTGGCTGGCTGTGCCACATAGTGGAGGGGAGCAGGGGGAGGAGGTGGAAAGAGGAGGACATAGAAAGGACGGAGGAGGGGGAGGAAGGGAGGAGGGTGAAGAGAGAGGAGGATGGAGAGACGGGGGTGGAGAGACGGGGGTGGTGGGTGGATGGAGGAGGAGGCAAGGAGGGGCCATGGATTGATTTCTCCCTGTGCCTACGTTTTGGGTTCCAAAGAGCTGCAGTTTTGCTCGAAGATGGGTCGCTCCTTGCTCGGGCTGCTGCTGCTGCTGTCTTTCTTGCTTTGGGGTATCAGGTTTCTTTCTAGTGTTTTCGTTTTGCTCCCACAGACAGGTGACTGTCTGGCTTGATACTGCAAAGCTCGTTTTTGGGCCACACTAGTGTACCTCCTCATTGGTTCATAGGATTCTTAGGTTTCGTTTTCCTTTTTTTTTTCTAGTCACCAAGTGGCCCATTTGTCAGCGTTGAGTGAAGACATTTATTCCCCACTTCAGAGATACAGATTGTACGTCTGTCACATCTGACTCACTGGATTTCATCAAGAGAGAAATGCACAAATGCTAATCTAGAGGCTTTTCCAGACCATAAGCTTCATCATGTGCTAAAGCATGTACAGGAGGACCCTTTCCATCAAGTGAAAAGGGCTTTGCATTTCTCCAGTAAAATGTCAGTGGTTAATGGCAAGCACATGCTGCCGTTGACTGTGTTTGCTGTCACATCAACCCTAAGATATTATTTCATTGCATCACATCCTTTGCTCCTCCTGTTGCTGCTGCTGCTGCTGCTGTTGCTGTTGTTGCTGCTGTTGGTGGTGGTGGTGGTGCTTATAATGAAGCATGTGGCACGGTGCAGACTCGCTATCATACTGTACAGGCACTGCAGAAACCTCTATAACGCGCAGTGAAAATATGTCTGGCCGTGCGTAGTGCCCCGTGACATCAAAGTCAAACTTGGCTCGTATGATGTCACCCATGTCTGGTGGGGGGAGGGGTGGGGAGAGAAGGAGGGGCAAATGGATGATATAAGGTAATGCCACCCTCTTTTACACGGAGGGGGAAAGTATCAGGCCGTGCGTAGTGCCCCGTGACATCAAAGTCAAACTTGGCTCGTATAAAGTCACGCATGCCTGGTGGGGGTAGGTGGGAAGTGTTGCGTGAAGAAGCTTGGGGAACGAATGTCAAGGCAGACGACAGGGATGGCATGTGGATGGCAAGGGATGGCATGTGGATGGCAAGGGATGGCATGTGGATGGCAAGGGATGGCATGTGGATGGCAAGGGATGGCATGTGGATGGCAAGGGATGGCATGTGGATGGCAAGGGATGGCATGTGGATGGCATGTACCCATGCAAGAAGAAGAAGTGCGGGAAGCGGTGAGTGGGATGCAGAGACTCACCCAGGTCAGCCGTGAGCAGCGCCTGGCCGCTGTAGTTTGGGCCGGCCGGCATGCCAGCATGCCAGCATGCCACGAGTTTAAACACTTTGAACCTCAAAGGAGGGTACATGGAGGTTCTATCTTCAGCTATTGAAGCTCCCACGAACTGTGCTACTCACTCACCTAGGTCAGCCGTGAGCAATGCCTGCCCATCATAGTTTGGGCCAGCCAGCACCCTCCCCAGCGGAGACACTATCACACTGCCGCCCCGGCACACCCGTCTGCATCCAGCCGCCCGGACGCGGAAAAGACGAAATCGGGGGGCGGCGGGTAGTCGGAGCGCACGCAGAACTGGTTGGCAGAGAGGACAAAGCAGCCGCCCTCGAGTGCTATGTGCTGCACGGTGGCCTGCCAGGAGTCCCGGGAATCTGCTGTGGGCGCACAATAAAGCTCCACTCCTGAGAGGATGAAGTGAAACAAGTGGAAGGATGGGGAGGGAGGGAGGAGGTATGTGGTGCACGGTGGCTTGCCAGGAGTGCCGAGAGTCTGCTGTTGGCGCACAGTAGAGCTCCACTCCTGCAGGGAAGGAGTGAGACACGGGGAAGGGATGGACCATGGGAATGAGGGAGAGATGGAGAGGGAGCGAGGAGGTATGTGCTTCACAGTGGGGTGTGGGGTGTGGGGTGTGGTGCTGTCTCGGCAACAACAGCATCATCTTCCACTCTCACATTCCCCAGATTCACCTCCCCCAGTCTCACTAACCTTTCCCATACAGCGCCATGCGAGCCATGGGCATGCGATTCTCCCAGCACACTGCAGCGCCCACCCGCCCCACCCCCCCCGCGTCCACCACCGTAGCAGCCGTGCTGCCATCGCCACACCCCCATATCACTCGCTCCAAAGCGGTTGGCACTGTCTTCCTGTGCCGCCCGACCAGCCCCAGGCGCGGGTCGATGAACAGTACGGAACAGTAGAGCGTGCCGCCCGCCCGCTCGATTGCCCCCATGACGACAAACACTCCATACTTGGCTGCTGCTGCTGTTAAGCGGGCCACCTCGGGACCTGGGGTTGTGGGGGGTGGTGGGGGGTGGAGGGGAGGGGAAAGGAGGCATCGATGGCACATCAATGGCAGAGGCACAGTAGCGCCTCAACTTGTAGCGCAGTCAGCCTATGCGCCACCCCACCAGCACACCGAAACAACATCTCAGGCTCTTCGTGAAATAAGGGTGCTTTTGAGACGTCTCACAACCGCCCTTATTTCTCGTAACGCCGTCAGCCTATGCGCGCGCGACCCCACCAGCACACCGAACCGACACAACGTCTCCGGCTCTGCACTGCACTCCCCACCCAGCCTTTCCCCTCCCCCCTCCCACCACCCCTTCCTTCCCGCTTTCCCCCTTCCCTTTCCCCCCACGCCCCACCCACCCGGCACATCAATGGCGCAGGCATGGTAGCGTCTGAACTCGTCCCTCCCTCGGTCCGTGCGCAAACCCCCCTCACCCCTTCCCCCTCTCCCCGTTCCACCGCGCCCCACCCACCCGGCACATCAATGGCGGAGGCATGGTAGCGTCTGAACTCGTCCCGGCCCCGGTCCGTGCGCGTCCCCACCAGCACACCAACACGGCTTCTGACGCACCCGGCACATCAATCGCAGATGCGTGGTAGCGCTTTGATACGTCTCAAAACACTTGTTCATACAAGAGGCATGATAGCGCCTGAACTGAACTCATCGCGGCCCCGGTCCGTGTGCAAACTCCCCTCACTCCCACTCCCCCATTCCCGCCTCCCTTCCCCCTTCCCCCACTCCCCGTCCCCTCACGCATCACCCACCCGGCACAAATATCGCAGAGGCGTGGTAGCGCCTGAACTCGTCCCGGCCTCGGTCCGTGGGTGACCCCACCAGCACGCCCAAGACGCTACCTTGCCCCCGCCCTCCCTCCCGCCCCCCTTCCCGCTTCTCCCGTCCCCTCACTCCACACCCACCCGGCACAACAATCGCAGAGGCGTGGTAGCGCCTGAACTGAACTCATCGCGGCCTCGGTCGGTCCGTGTGCGACCCATCCAGCACACCAACACGACTTCTGAGGCACCTTCATAACCACGCCCCACCCCTCCATTCCCCCACCCCCCACGCGTCACCCACGCTTCACCCACCCGGCACATCAATGGCGGAGGCATGGTAGCGTCTGAACTCGTCCCGGCCTCGGTCCGTGCGCGACCCCACCAGCACTCCGAAGCTGGCCCCCCTGGGGTAGCCGCCGATGAACGCCTCCGGGAACACCACCAGCTGACTGCCCAGCTGCGCCGCCTCTGCCAATAGTCGCTCAGCTGGGAGCAGCGAGGAGGAGGGGAGAGGGAGAGGAGAGATGCATTGTATCACTAGGCATGCGAGAGCTGGCCCCCCTGGGGTAGCCGCCGATGAACGCCTCTGGGAACACCACCAGCTGACTGCCCAGCTGTGCCGCTTCTGCCAGCAATCGCTCGGCTGGGAGGACGAGGAGAGAGGAGAGACAGGGAGAGGGAAGAGGATAGAGGGAGGGGGGAGAGACGCATTGTGTCAGGGAGAGCACCAGACCACCAGCACACCGAAGCTGGCCCCCCTGGGGTAGCCGCCTATGAACGCCTCTGGGAACACCACCAGCTGACTGCCCAGCTGTGCTGCCTCTGCCAGGAGTCGCTCGGCTGTTATGAGGATGAGGGGAGAGGGAGAGAAGAGAAGGAGAGAGAGGGAAGGAGGGAGGGGGAACGCATTGTTTTGTATCACAGAGCACACCACGTGGGATAGGCAAGCATTCTGCAATGAAGCTGAAATCAAAAAAGAAAAGAAAAGGAAAGAAACAAACATCGCCTCTGTCCAGCGTGGCAGTAATCACCTTTGTCCAGCGTGGCAGGCGTGTTGTACATCACTGTAGCCGCCTGAACCACCGTCGCGCGCACCTGCCGCGACGGCGTCTCCCCCTCCATTGTCACCTCCTGCGTCTGCACCTGCAGCTCCTGTGCGCTCTCCGACGCGTCCATCCCTCGATATTATCAAAAACGGATATGAGCGAAAACGAAGAGCTTCGACGGTCCTCGCGGAATAGCGGATTCAATGAAATACACAAGGAAGCTTGCGCAAATTCCGGCTAATGCGACCAGCTTTCGGCCAGAGGGACTAGCCACGTGTTAGAACAAGCCTCTTGAAAAATCGTACGTTCACGGCATCTCAAGCAGTCAACAGCGGCAGTGAAGTGAGAATTCTCAGAGAGTCGCAGCAGTAGATGTTCGTAAACGATTACCGATTCGGCCCCTCAATCATGAAGCTAGTTCTTTTCTAGCGAGGCTAGGTAGAGTTTAGGAACAATTGTCGCCTCATAGTGCGCCTCGCAGGATATTGAACTTACTATACGCTCTAGTGAACAATATCACATACCGGTACTAAAATAGCGTACAGATTCCACCGCATGAAATTACAGGATTCCACCGTACAGACCTCTAAAAACACAGCTTCCAAAAATATAGAATTTTATTTGACTAGAGTACTACTGTAGGTTGTAAGAAAGCAGCAGCACTCAAGATGCTCCATTGAGAGCATCCATGAGGTAAAGCTTGCTAAGAGCCGGGCCACTAAACCTGCAAACAGCCAAAACACAAACATCAGAAGAGCTCGCACATGGCTGTGCAACGGGGTAGCACACAGTGGTCCATAATTACTACCACAAACAAATATACACTGAAGTTGTATAAAAAAAAAAGGTGCTTACTCGTTGATCTGCGAGCAGTAATTGGCGATCTGGTTGGTGGTGAGCAGCATGTCAATGCGCGAGGGCTCCGGGATGGGCTTGAAGATGGGGTTGGTCGGATCCTCCTCTGGTAGCGGCTCCTCCCCTGCTGCCCTCCTCAGTGCATTGTCCGATCTGCCAATGAGCAAGGGAGTGTGAGAGGGAGTGTGAGAGGGAGTGGGAATGCAAGTGCAAGTGGGTCTGGGGCTGAAGATGGGGTTGGTGGGGTCCTCCTCTGGTAGCGGCTCCTCAGACCGTTGTCCGATATGCCAACACCATGGGAGTGGATGCATAGTGAGTGAGTGAAGGAGTGTGATAGTGAGGGAGTGTGCACATGTCTCAGTGGGCTCAGGGAAGGGCTTGAGGATGGGGTTGGTGGGGTCCTCCTCTGGTAGCGGCTCCTCCCCTGCTGCCCTCCTCAGTGCATTGTCCGATCTGCCAATGAGCAAGGGAGTGAGGGAGTGTGAGAGGGAGTGGGAATGCATGTACAAGTGGGTCAAGGGATGGGCTTGAGGATGGGGTTGGTGGGGTGGGGTCCTCCTCTGGTAGCGGCTCCTCCCCTGCTGCCCTCCTCAGTGCATTGTCCGATCTGCCAACACCATGGGAATGGATCGAGAGTGAGCGAGTGAGGGAGTGTCACAGTGAGTGGGTGTGCATGTGCATGTGCAAGTGTGTCACAGTGAGTGGGTGTGCATGTGCATGTGCAAGTGTGTCACAGTGAGTGGGTGTGCATATGCATGTGCAAGTGTGTCACAGTGAGTGGGTGTGCATGTGCATGTGCAAGTGTGTCACAGTGAGTGGGTGTGCATGTGCATGTGCAAGTGTGTCACAGTGAGTGGGTGTGCATGTGCATGTGCAAGTGTGTCACAGTGAGTGGGTGTGTATGTGCAAGAGCATGTGAGACGGAGCATGTGAGTGAGTGAGTGGGTGAGTGTGAGGGCGAGAGTGTGCACGTGCACCTGAGACCCGGTCAGGCTAGAGGAGCACCTGACGTGTTGCAACAATGGTGCCCTTCCCCTGCCCTCACCTTCTCTTCTGCACCCATGCTAGCTGCTGCTGCTGCTGGCGCTGCACACTGCGGTAGTGGTACTGGAACTGCAGGGGGGCAGCATGGGGGCAGAGACGCGCACAGAGAGGGGGTGAAAGGAGTCACTTTTGAGAATTCTCAAAAGTGCTGCTGCTGGCGCTGCACACTGCGGTAGTGGTACTGGAACTGCAGGGGCGAGAGGGACACACGGAGAGAAGGGGGGGTAGAGGAGGAGGGGTGACGAGACGATGAAAGCAGAGAGGAGGCAGTGACGAGCGAGGGATCGAGAGGATGTGCTACAACCCTTGAGGGATGTGCTACAACCCTTGAGGGATGTGCTACAACCCTTGAGGGATGTGCTACAACCCTTGAGGGACGTGCACAAAGGCAGGAAAAAAAAAGTCCCTTGTGCCACTCTTGATGCAAAATCAAGCCCCTACACGTTGCTGCTCCGCACTGAGGTCATCCATGCATTCTGCCAGGCACCCCAGGTTGGTCCCCAGGTTGAGAATTCTCAAAAGTGATTTCAATATGGTCTCCAGGAACGGATTGGTGCCCAACAGCAGGCGGTCCAAGTCAGACTTGTGCTGTCATGCTAGCATACCCACTCTCGCAGGTGAAAACCCCTGAATTCCCTCGTTCTGCTACATATCACACGTACCCGTTGCTGCTCCGCACTGAGGTCGTCCATGCAATCCGAAAGGGATCCCAGGTTGGTCTCCAGGAAGGGGTTGGTGCCCAGCAGCAGGCGGTCAAAGTCAGACTCGTACCGCCACTGCCAGGCCCTCTAATCTGGTTACCCCTACCCTTCCTGCCTCTGGTAAAGACAACACCTACCCTCTGCTGCTCCGCACTGAGGTCATCCATGCAATCCGACAGGCATCCCAGGTTGGTCTCGAGGAAGGGGTTGGTGCCCAGCAGCAGGCGGTCAAAGTCGGTGCGCGAGGGAGCAGCGTCGGCAGCGGGGGGGTGCAGGGAGGCGACGAGGGTGGAGACGAGCGTGGAGTTGGCCATCTTCACTGGGATCTCCTCGAATATCCCCGCCCATGACGTGTCGCTCTCCCTCAACCTGCAGAGACAGAGCGGGATAAAACAACACCAGAGGAAAGAGGGGGAAAGAGGGGGAAACGTGTGGCGGGGAGACGAATCAGCATCGGCAGCGGAGTCGGCGGCAGGGGGGTGCAAGTAGGCGATGAGGGTCGAGACGAGCGTTGAGTTGGCCATCTTGAGCGCCACTAGGTCCCTCCCCATCACCAACCCTCCCATTCCCCCCGCCACCCCTCCCCCACCTACTCACTTATCCCGGTAAGCGCGCCTGCTTTTGAACATCTCGACGAATGGCGCCTAGAGAGTGAACACTGTACACCCAACTCCCTCCCCAGGAAACCCACTCACTTGTCCCCACCCACTCCTCCCACCACCCCCAAAAACACACACACTCACTTCTCCCCTGTGAGCGCGCCCGCTTTGAACATCTCGAGGAAGGGCGCCTTGAGCGTGAGAGCCTTGAGCGCCACGGTACCGCGGGCAGCAGCCCTATCAGCATCGTACACGAGGCACACGCAGCGCTTGATGTTCTCGCGGTAGCTCGCAAACGTTTCTATCATGTCCGCCGTCTGGAAGGAGCCCAGGGTCGTTGACTGGTACCTGCGGGGGAAACGGGGAAGAGGCGGGTAGTTTGAGGGAACGGATGAGGAGAAATAGGCGCAAATGGGGGCGGTGAGGAGAAGCAAAAATGGAGAGAGGAGAGGGGGGAAGTGAAGAGGAGTGGGAAGGGAGGAGTAGTGGGAATGGGTCGGAACACCGCACTGGACCGTGCTACACCACACCACATACCATGTAACCATTCGAGACCGAACTGTACCGTACTGCACCACACCCCAGGCATACCATCCGACGGTATTGTTGTCGATGTTGACCTTGCGCAGGCAGCGCATCATCTCAAGCTGATACATGACACTTGTGGGGCACCCGTGAAGTGGGCTTCACCTGCACCGCAATGTACCGCACTGTACCTCAATATACTGCACCGCACCCCAGGCGGGACATACGACCTACCAGCCAACGGTGTTGTTGTCGACGTTGACCTCACGCAGGCAGCGCATCATCTCTAGCTGATACATGGCGCCGTCTGCCTCCTCCTCCTCCTCCTCCTCGCCTCCCCGACTCTGCCAGTGCGGTAAGTGAGGGAATCCACGCCACGCCATGGCACACCCCATGCCACACGTCATGCCACATGTCATGCCACACGCCATACCATATGTCATGCCATACCATATGTCATGCCATACATCATGCCACGTAACACCATGCATCGTGGCACGTATCGTGCCGTCCATGAGGCCATGCGTAATGCCATGCATGTCGACATGCATCATGCATGTCGCCATATGCCATGGCGCACACGGCCTCACACATATGTATCACACGCACACAGGCACCAATTCCATTCCCCAAACACACACCCAAAGGGAGCACGCACACACGCACACGAACACGCACAGCTCAAACGCGCAACTGAAAACAACAACACATTCGTGATTCCGCGGTGACGCATCCGCAATCCAAAGGCCAGACACCCATCCCAGGCCAAATTCTCCCCTGACAGACTTCCAAGCATAAAGAAAAGTTTTTTCGAGGCACCACAACAATCCAAGGGCCACACACCCATCCCAGGCCAAATTCTCCCCTGACAGACTTCCAAGCATAAAGAGAAACTGTAAACCTAACAGACTCCCCTGACAGACTTCCCTGACCCTTTTGCGCACAGAGGAGCAATGGAAGCAAGGACGATGCAATAACTGAGGTTGGGAATGGAGATCACTCACGGGGAAGGGAAAGCAATTGGTGACTTCAAGAGTGCTGCCAATATCGAGACCGAGCAGCAGACCCGTTACAAGCTGAGGAGCCCAGTCGCTACAGTGCTTGTCAATCTTCATCGCAACCTAGAGATTCGTTACGAACGAAGAGGAAGAGATAAATAAACCACGCTACTATTAGGGTTTAGGGCGTGTCAGCGTAGTAGAGCGGGCGAGTCTAAGGTTTAAGTGGAACGTATGATCGAAATTAACGACGAAGTAGACGACGACGCGACACTCACGAGGGCGTCGATGTGCACGGATCGCAGCGGTTGTGCGACCTCCTCTGTCGCAGCTGCTTGTGCGAAAGACCTCACCGGAGCTGCGAAACAGGTAACACAGAGATGCGTACTGGAAATACTTATCGACAGCAATGGCTCGCACAGGGAAGACTATCATTAGGGTAGTGAGTGCCTGATGATGTACGATGTTGCAGTGGATTGAGGTAAAACGCGGATCGTCACTACCTGCTCCTTGTTCAGCCATGATTCTTGTCTGTAATCTGCCAACTTTTTGTTCTGATGAAATCTCCTAGCTTCGGAAACTGATGTAGGAGAAAAGAGCGGGTATCCCGGAGCAGACAGAAGGAACTGCTGGGGAAAGCGGAGTCGGAGGAAGGTAGAACTTCGAAGCTGGCACAGAGAATGATGAAGGGGATGACTGCGATATACGCATTATGAGCTGCTGGTTAACACTCACTCACCTGCTCTATCCTCAACAAAAACAAAGAATCGGGGCTGGCTATCACAGCGTTACAAAATCATTCCAGAATTTGAAGCAGAATACCGTATGGTAATTTTGAAGCACCAGCATTTTTTGTTGAGTCCATAGTTTCCCACGAATTAATTAAATGATCAAACTGTTCACGAGGTGCACATCAGAATGCACACAATACACGGCAAATGCAAATCTCCCCTGGCAAAATTAAATAGAAATGTTTATAGCACGTATTCTCTATTCGAGGAGCGTGTACCCTGAAATTGCTTCGTTGCCATGCCTAAAACGGGATAGCGGCCATGACACTTCAGTTCGTTGTGCACCAATAGCGTCGTTGAAAATCTAGATGGCAGATAGTCAAGATGTGGTTATGAGAGAGAATCCCTTCTCATCCAGCTCATGAACTACGAGACAAAACTTGGCTGCCTCACGCTGACACTGTGTATTTCTAAGCTGCCCTACCTGACCTTTGACAGTTCAGTGCAGACTGAAAGTGTTAGGCTCTGAGGTTGGGAAGAAAAGCAAAGCTGAAGTTCGGCTCCCAAAGTGTTAAAGCCCAAGACCTGAATTACAAAAAAAGGAAGGCAAACTGTGCACAGTTTGCCTACCGAGCCCACAGTTGACCTCCCGAGCCAGGCTGGTTACCAGAAAACAAAGCGCCAAAAAACAGAGTGTCGTAGAGCAGAACGGGTTTGGTTGGCGAGAGTCCCAACCACACCCACCTGAAGGAACAAGGGCTCAAAATGTGCACAGTTTGCCTTCTTTGGTAATTCAGGTCGTGCGATTTCCATAGTACGCGAAGCGATTAGATCATGCGAAGAGATAGAATAAAAAGCCACTAAAGCATAGGCCATGAGCATTTTCACCTTTAGTCCTAGCCCATCCCCAAACATCGCATTTGGACCTATCGCCTTCCGCGTCCCCCACGCTTCTCCCCACCGTCTCTCACACACCTCCCCACGCACACGCCCACGCTTCCCCTCACCGTCGCCCACGCTTTCCCCCATCGTCGCTCACGCTTCCCCTTACCACCGCTCACGCTTCCTCCTGCCTTCCCCCACGCTTCCCCACACCGTCGCTCCCGCCTTCCCCCACCTTCCCTCACGATTCCCCTCTCATCGCCCACGGTTCCTCCTACCGTCGCCCACGCTTCCTCCCACCGTCACCCACGCTTCCCCCCACCGTCGCCCAAGCTTCCCCCCACCGTCGCCCAAGCTTCCCCCCACCGTCGCCCACGCTTCTTCCCACCGTCGCCCACGCTTCCCCTCACCGTCGCCCACGCTTCCCCCCACCGTCACCCACGCTTCCCCCCACCGTCGCCCACGCTTCCCCCCACCGTCGCCCACGCTTCCCCCCACCGTCGCCCACGCTTCCCCCCACCGTCGCCCACGCTTCCCCCCACCGTCGCCCACGCTTCCCCCCACCGTTGCCCACCGCCACCGTCGCCCACCGCCACCGTCGCCCACCCCCACTGTCGCCCACGCTTGCCCTCCCATCGCCCTCGGTTAGACTTCCCGCCGACCTCCCTTCTCTCCCACCTCTCTCCACGTCGTCATCACTCCCCTGCCCATCACGTTCCCCCTCTTCACCATCGCGTCTCCACCCATGCCGCCCACCCTCTCATCCCTTCCCATCGCATTTAGGGTCGTCGTTGTATCCCTTCCCCATTGCCTCGTTAGGTCGCTCACGCTCTCCCCATTACCACCTTCTCTACTCCTACCATCGCCCATGGTTACCACCCCACCCTTGCACCCTTATTTCCTTCTCTCTCATTCTCCCTCCCCATCAGCCTCTCACCCACCCTGGGCGGGGAGGTATGGCGGGCTGGGCTGGGAGCTGGGGAAGGGGTCGTGACTCGTTCGCTGTGGGGTGTGGAAGGGTGCGTGGTCAGCAGCACCCACCCTTCTCTCTCTTGCACTGACCTCCTCTCCTCTCTCGCACCAACCCCACACGCATGGCAGGTGGTGGTGCGGCTTTGGAGCAGAGTGTTTGGCGCACAGCCAGGGCAGCGCGTGCAGGCGGGCAGCAAGGAGTGCAGTGCTGCAGGGGGCGGGTCAGGGGAGCGGGGGAGGCGGGGCAGGGGAGGCGGGGGTTAGGGAGAGAGGGTGCAGGGATCCTCCTATCCCCCGTTCCACCCTTATACCCTACCACACTTTTACCTCCTGCCCTCCTCCCTTACTCCGTTCCGTCGTTCCCCCACAGTCGTCCTCCTCTCCCTCTCCCTTCCTCCCTTCCTCCATCATCTCTGCCTCACTACCCTCTTTACCCTCTCTGTTGCCCGTCCTCCCTTCCTCCCTTCCTCCATCTCTCTGCCTCACTACCCTCTTTACCCTCTCTGTTGCCCGTCCTCCCTTCCTCCCATCCTTCTTTCCTGCCATTCTTCCTCTCCTCATCCTCCCTCGATCCAGTCCCCCTTCCCCTTTCCATCTCCCACTCTCCCACTCCCTTCCTCACGCCAACCCTGGTCCTCCGTTCCACCCTTCTACCTTCCCCCTTGTACTGATGAAGGTGTGTCTCGGTACCCAGCCGCACTTTTTCCTCTCATCCGCCCATCATCTCATCCGCCCATCATCTCATCCGCCCATCATCTCATCCGCCCATCATCTCATCCGCCCATCCTCTCATCCGCCCATCATCTCATCCGCCCATCACCTCATCCGCCCATCATCTCATCCGCCCATCATCTCATCCGCCCATCATCTCCTCCGCCCATCATCTCATCTGCCCATCATCTCATCCGCCCATCCTCTCATTCGCCCATCATCTCATCCGCCCATCATCTCATCCGCCCATCATCTCATCCGCCCATCATCTCATCCGCCCATCATCTCATCCGCCCATCATCTCATCCGCCCATCATCTCATCCGCCCATCATCTCATCCGCCCATCATCTCATCCGCCCATCATCTCATCCGCCCATCATCTCATCCGCCCATCACCTCATCCGCCCATCGTCTCATCCGCCCATCGTCTCATCCGCCCATCATCTCATCCGCCCATCCTCTCATCCGCCCATCATCTCATCCGCCCATCATCTCATCCGCCCATCATCTCATCCGCCCATCATCTCATCCGCCCATCATCTCATCCGCCCATCATCTCATCCGCCCATCATCTCATCCGCCCATCATCTCATCCGCCCATCATCCATCCGCCCATCATCTCATCCGCCCATCATCCATCCGCCCATCACCTCATCCACCCATCACCTCATCCGCCCATCATCCATCCGCCCATCACCTCATCCGCCCATCATCTCATCCGCCCATCATCTCATCCGCCCATCATCTCATCCGCCCATCATCTCATCCGCCCATCCTCTCATCCGCCCATCATCTCATCCGCCCATCATCTCATCCGCCCATCCTCTCATCCGCCCATCATCTCATCCGCCCATCATCTCATCCGCCCATCATCTCATCCGCCCATCATCTCATCCGCCCATCATCTCATCCGCCCATCATCCATCCGCCCATCATCTCATCCGCCCATCACCTCATCCGCCCATCACCTCATCCGCCCATCATCTCATCCGCCCATCATCCATCCGCCCATCATCTCATCCGCCCATCACCTCATCCACCCATCACCTCATCCGCCCATCATCTCATCCGCCCATCATCTCATCCGCCCATCATCTCATCCGCCCATCATCTCATCCGCCCATCCTCTCATCCGCCCATCATCTCATCCGCCCATCATCTCATCCGCCCATCATCTCATCCGCCCATCATCTCATCCGCCCATCATCTCATCCGCCCATCATCTCATCCGCCCATCATCTCATCCGCCCATCATCTCATCCGCCCATCATCTCATCCGCCCATCATCTCATCCGCCCATCATCTCATCCGCCCATCCTCTCATCCGCCCATCCTCTCATCCGCCCATCACCTCATCCGCCCATCACCTCATCCGCCCATCGTCTCATCCGCCCATCATCTCATCCGCCCATCATCTCATCCGCCCATCGTCTCATCCGCACATCCTCTCATCCGCCCATCATCTCATCCGCCCATCATCTCATCCGCCCATCATCTCATCCGCCCATCATCTCATCCGCCCATCATCTCATCCGCCCATCATCTCATCCGCCCATCATCTCATCCGCCCATCATCTCATCCGCCCATCATCTCATCCGCCCATCATCTCATCCGCCCATCATCTCATCCGCCCATCATCTCATCCGCCCATCATCTCATCCGCCCATCATCTCATCCGCCCATCATCTCATCCGCCCATCATCTCATCCGCCCATCATCTCATCCGCCCATCATCTCATCCGCCCATCATCTCATCCGCCCATCATCTCATCCGCCCATCCTCTCATCCGCCCATCATCTCACCGCCCATCATCTCATCCGCCCATCATCTCATCCGCCCATCATCTCATCCGCCCATCATCCCATCCGCCCATCATCCATCCGCCCATCATCTCATCCGCCCATCACCTCATCCACCCATCATCTCATCCGCCCATCATCTCATCCGCCCATCATCTCATCCGCCCATCATCTCATCCGCCCATCCTCTCATCCGCCCATCCTCTCATCCGCCCATCATCTCATCCGCCCATCATCTCATCCGCCCATCATCTCATCCGCCCATCATCTCATCCGCCCATCATCTCATCCGCCCATCACCTCATCCGCCCATCCTCTCATCCGCCCATCATCTCATCCGCCCATCATCTCATCCGCCCATCATCTCATCCGCCCATCATCTCATCCGTCCACCCTCTCATCCGCCCATCATCTCATCCGCCCATCACCTCATCCGCCCATCACCTCATCCGCCCATCATCTCATCCGCCCATCATCTCATCCGCCCATCATCTCATCCGTCCACCCTCTCATCCGCCCATCATCTCATCCGCCCATCCTCTCACCGTCGCCCACGCTTCTGCCTTAGTGCCTTTCCGTGCTCTCTCTCCCCTACCCACGCTTCATCTCGCTCACCCTTCCGCCCTTCCTCCGTGTCTCCCTTGCTCATTTTCTGCCTCCGTGCATTCTTTGTTCCCCACCCTCCATCAGAGTTTGTGGTTCGTGTCTGTGCAGGTCTGCCATGCATCCAGTTGTGATGAGTATAGGGTTTGATAATATTAGTTGTCTACAATAGCTATGCCATGTACCGTTATTGATGTTGGTTGGATGCGTCTCATAATACACCACATCGTGATTTGGAGCATTATGAAAAAGTGCAACAAAGCAAAATAATGTTCCATTTATGTTGCCAAGACAAGACTATAAGCACAAGCACAAAACTAGGAGGTGGTAACTTTTCAACCCACTCCTGTTGGGACCCATCGCATGGTTCTGTATGGAACGGGGAGGGAAGAGGGGATATGGCAGAATAAGCGAGGGGTGAAGGTGGAGGGCATGTATGGGAGGAGTTAGGCAGAGGAGTGAGCGAAGCGGGGAACAGAGTGAGCAGGGTGGAGAAGGCGGTGAGCAAAGGGGATAGCCAGTAAGCATGGGGCTAAGGAGGGGAAATGAGAGGACTTGGGGGGGAAAAAGGGTTGAACAAAGGGGAATAGAGAGTAAACAGGGTGGAAAGATGGGTGAGTACAGGGGGAAAGAGAGTGACCAGAGGGGGAGAGAGTGAACAAGGGGTAAGGGAGTGAGCAGGGGATTTTAGGGGCGAGCACAGGGGGAAATAGACCGAGCAGGGGGGAAATGGGTGAGAAAGGGGGAAAGAGGGATGAGAACAGGGGGAAAGAAAGTGAGCAGGGGGGAAGAGAGTGAGCAGGGGGGAAGAGAGTGAGCAGGGAGGGAGAGAGTGAGTATAGGAGTGAGCCGGGAAAACAGGGGCGAGCAGAGGGGGTAAGAGAGCGTGAAGGGGGGAAATGGGGGAGGTGAAGGCGACGGGAGGGGGAAGTGAAGGCGACGGGAAGGGGAAGTGAAGGCGACGGGAGGGGGAAATGAAGGAGACGGGAGGGGAAATGAAGGCGACGGGGAGGGGGAAATGAAGGCGACGGGAGGGGGAAGTGAAGGCGACGGGAGGGGGAAGTGAAGGCGACGGGAGGGAGAAGTGAAGGCGACGGGAGGGGGAAGTGAAGGCGACGGGAGGGGGAAGTGAAGGCGAGTGGAGGGGGAAGTGAAGGCGACGGGAGGGGGAAGTGAAGGCGACGGGAGGGGGAAGTGAAGGCGACGGGAGGGGGAAGTGAAGGCGACGGGAAGGGGAAGTGAAGGCGACGGGAGGGGGAAGTGAAGGCGACGAGAGGGGGAAGTGAAGGCGACGGGAGGGGGAAGTGAAGGCGACGGGAGGGGGAAGTGAAGGCGACGGGAGGGGGAAGTGAAGGCGACGGGAAGGGGAAGTGAAGGCGACGGGAGGGGGAAGTGAAGGCGACGGGAAGGGGAAGTGAAGGCGACGGGAGGGGGAAATGAAGGAGACGGGAGGGGAAGTGAAGGTGACGGGAGGGGGAAGTGAAGGCGACGGGAGGGAGAAGTGAAGGCGACGGGAGGGGGAAGTGAAGGCGAGGGGAGGGGGAAGTGAAGGCGACGGGAGGGGGAAGTGAAGGCGACGAGAGGGGGAAGTGAAGGCGACGGGGGGGAGAAGTGAAGGCGACGGGAGGGGGTAGTGAAGGTGACGGGAAGGGGAAGTGAAGGCGACGGGAGGGGGGAAAGTGAAGGCGACGAGAGGGGGACGTGAAGGCGACGGGAGGGGGGGAAGTGAAGGCGACGAGAGGGGGAAATGAAGGCAACGGAAGGGGGGGGAGGAGGGGGGGGGAAGTGAAGGCGACGGGCGGAGCGAAGGCGACGGGCAGGGGTCGCGAACGCGACGAGCTGCGGAAGCGATGGCGACGACGCGGGCGACAGAGAGCGGAAGCGTGGGACCTAGGGAAATGAAAGCGAGGGCGAGGGGAGGGTCACGCTTGGGCGAACGGGTGCGATTCGATTTTCGCCGCGAGTTTACGCTACGCAGTAGTTGCACAATAAAATGCATTTCGACACAAAAATCTTCACCCAGCGAGCACTAGCTTTGCGCGTCATCATCAAAATCCGCGCCACCCACATCGTAAGGCGCATCTGATCCCTTTTGAGTGAACGCCGACGCCCTGCCCTGTCTACAGGTATGGTCTATGCCTAATACTCTGCGTGCTATCTCAAACTGTGCACAGTTTGGTGTGCACGTGCTTTTCTGGTTGTGGGAAGGACCCCACCCATCATGGGAAGCGAGAAACTTTTGTCGCAAATTGGTTTCGCGAGTGAAAGTCTCTCGCAACCCAACCGAACCTCTCCGTGCCTGCCTCCCGAACCTAGTATTTAGCGTTGACTTCCGTTGAGTAATTCAGGTCTTGGGCTTTAACACCTCCCAGAAAGTTTGTAATTCAGGCTTCGGGTTTTAAGAAAAGTCTTACAACGATTTCCAAGCTTTACAATGTGCGGTGGCAAAATAACGTAAAGAACGCTCACTGAGCTGAGAGAAAAACTAATCAATAAATCACGTGGAAGTGAAAGAGGAGCCTGGGCAGGGCCGTTTTAGCTGACATCATCTTGAACATAACCGAAATCGCATCGCATCGATTCACCCGTTCCGCGTCGCATTCGTGAGGGACCTCGAGGAAACAAACACACATCCGCGCGCCATTGCGCCAACAACGATCATTGCGGCAACGAAACAGCCGAAAGCAACGCCAACGAAAGGCAACAACAGGTTAGGGGCTGCTTTTGGTGGTGCGTCAAGTCGACAGCTTCATCCTGCTTTGTCTCCTGTCCTCGCTCGCAATGCCCCCTCCCTCATGCTGTTACCTTCATTGCATTTCCTTCCTCCCTTCCTTCCTGCATTTCTCACTTCAATCCCGTGTGGGCGTAGGTCGCGATTTCGTGAATCACGAACCACGCACACTCATCCTTCAGGAGAAGTTGAAAGAAAGGCGTCACCCACACAGACGCGTCCATATCACACCCGGCTCCCCGTTGAGTTGAGACCCAGGGCGTGTATCTTCCTTCCTGGAAACGCCCCTGTCGACGAGATCCGTCGATTTAATCTCCGCCGTCGTTTAATAATCTGTCGCCTCCTAACGCAGCGGACATGTCGCAGCGCGTAGCGAAGCACAGCCATGACTCGCCTCCAGTCATCAAGCACTTCGGCGCTACCAAACCCGCGAAGAACCCTTCGTCCGTGGTAAACCTATCGTGCAAACCTCCGTTACAAGATCACCCAGCGAATCCTCCGCCGAACCGCGGCGCGCACCCAGAATGCCGCAAAACGCCGGGCCAGCAGAGGTTCCTGCATTGTCTTGAGGAGATTAAAGAGGCCGAAACCAACCGCACCGCGTTACCTCCCAGATTATCTGTCCCGTCCCGGTCCCCAACGGCCGCGGATCATCATGGTCCTTCGATGAACCCGTCGCCTGTCGATGGTAACGGTCGCTCATCGTCGTCGTCACTGTCGCCTGCTGAGCTGTCGCCGTCGTTGCGAAGCTCCCCACCCTTCCATGGTTGCTCGACGGCTACGCGATCTTCGCCGCCGACAATACGACAGTCTAGTAGGGTACCACAGTAACGTTGACACTGGCGTGACGTCGCCGTCAACGCACAACGGCTATGCCGAAGCGACGTCCCACTTTCGTCGCCAGGTGACGTCGCCCGCTTCAGCGTCGCCCGACAACTCTCAGTCGCTGGCGCCGGAATCCGAGTTTTACGCATATCCGGCGCCGCCGCCGGCGCCTGCCGCGCTCTCGCCGTCGTTCTCGCTACCCACCTACGCGTCCTACACCGCGTCGCACGCTTCCTCGTCTCTCTGCGGCCCCACCGCACTCCCCGCGTCGCTCGCTTCGAGGTCCCCTTCCGCGTCTTCCGCCACCTCTTTCCCATCGTCGTCGTCGCATCCTTCCGTGTCGTCCTCGTCGGACGCGGAGGAACTCGGCCCCTCCGCGTGCCCCTCCGCGTGCCCCTCCGCATTCCCCTCTGCATGCCCCTCCATGGGCCCCTCCGCGTGCCCCTTCCAGGCCAGCTTCTCCGCCTACGCGCCCTTCTCCACGTCAGTCAACGGAACGGTCAACGCTGGGGTCAACGGAACGGTCAATAGAGGCGTCAACCCGATGTCGCCGCCCGCATCCTTTCCCGCTCGCCCCGCTAAAGCGCCGTTGGAGAGGACTAGCTCCGGGACCCCGCGGGGGGGGCACGGCGCGGGCGGAACCGGCGGGTCGTTCCCCGGGGTGGCGGAAGCGGGCGCGGGAATATGTAGTCGTGACCTGCTGTCGACGATTGTTACAGCGCACGACATTTTCGCACGCGACATGGTGAGTCGCACTGAGCCAAGGCTAAAACCGTACACGGACCCAATACATGATGGTGTGCCGAGATACGCGGAGAATGAGGGCGAAGTCTCTCAAAGAGAGGCTTTCTCTACCGATCTCACTCCCTCCCCTCTCCCCATGATCCCCGTGCTTCCCGAGCTCTCTCTCCCTCTTCCCTCTTCCTAACCTGCCCTTCCGCTCCCCATCCTCCTCCTCCGTCCCTATACCCCATCCTCTCCCCCCGCAGTCCCCCAACGGGCACCAGGTGGCGGACTACCTGCTGCCGTAGCACCACGGTTTCCCCGTGACCACCCTGCCCTTTCTGCCCTCTTCATCCCCCTCCCCACCCCACGCCCTTCCCGCCCCTCCCTGCAGTCCCCCAACGGGCACCAGGTGGCGGACTACCTGCTGTCGCAGCGCCACGTTTCTCCCCTGATCCCCATGCTCTTTCTCCCCCGGTCCCCCGCCCCCGCCCCCACAGTCCCCGAACGGCCATCAGGTGGCGGACTACCTGCTGTCGCAGCTGCTGCACCTCACGCGCTCCTCCGCTGGCTGCATCTCCAGCGCCCTCCGCCGCCCCCGCCCCCGCCCCCGCAGCAACAACAGCACCAGCAGATACAGCAACTGCAGCAACAGCAAGAACAGCGGTGGCGGCGGCAGTGAGGAGGAGGAGGAGTCGTTGTTCCTGAGGACGCACAGCATCACCAACTTCGCCTGGACGCCGTACCTCAAGGCGTGGTACGCGGAGAATGCAGCCTCGGGATTGGTGTTCGGCAACATGAAGACGCTCATGGGCCAGGTGGTTACCACCGCTGACGTCATCGTGAGCAATGACGTGGCGTCGGATCAGCGGTCGACGGGAGTGCCGCACGGGAGTGACACCCGCAAATGACGACGTTCCTTGGCGTGCCACTGTTCTCAGGTGCGGCTGGCTGCCTGGTGCTTCATTCACTATCTTCACGATTTGGTGATTGCATGATATTGCTTGATGGTATGGATGATGTAATGTAATGGCGTTACCATGCTTCCCATCTCGCTGACCTATTTCCGCGAATTCTCTTATTCTCCATCACATGTTCATCTCCCATTCACTCCTTCACTCCACTCATAAGCACATCCCACCCCCCTCTCCCTCTCCTCCAATCTCAGGCTCCCGTCTTGTCGGAATGTTCGCAGTGACCAATCGCGATGGGGGCTACAGCAGGGCCCTCGTCACAGAGTTGCACGCACTAACCAAGACAGTGGGGCAGGTTGTAGCGGGGATACAGCAGCGGCGGCAGCGGTGGGAGCGCGAGGAGCGGTTGAATGCGGTGCTGGAGGGTGCCTGCCAGGCCGTGCTGTCTGTAGCGCCGTCCGGCCGACTCTCCTGCATCAACCGCGCTGCCCGAAGCCTGTTCGGGGTTCCGGATCAAGCCATGGGTCCCCACCTCTCTTCGGGCTCTCATATTGCGGCTTCTGCTGCTGCTTCAAGGGGGAAAGGAGCAGGAGCAGGGGTAGCAGCAGTGGGGACTGGAGTCACATCATCCTTGAGTCATGCGCTTGCGAGTCTGTGCGAATCGGAGTTGCCACTATCGGATTGGATTGAGAGCGTTGATGGGGATACAGGCTTTATGCAACAAGATGTGATGCAGAGATTTGCGGAATCAGAAGGTTCCTTTCCTGCTGTGGGGCTGTCCCATGGAGACCAGTACAACAATCAGCTCAGGAGCTCCCAAGGTCGCACTGATCGGGACACGTCAGCAGCTGCTGTCAGAATGAACCTCCGTGTGAGAGTGACACGTGGCGAGACGTCACAGGTGGCGTACGTGCTGACGGTGCAGCCGGCAGAAGAAGTAGAATTAGGAGGGAGAGAATTCCACTTGCAGTCTCAAACTCGGTCTGATGGCCATCACACCTACGATCATATGGCTTGTGGACGCGCAGAAGGGAATTGGAGAGGAGCAGCAGCAGATAGGGCAGGGGGTGGGGACGGGGAGGGCGAGGAGGATGGGCATGATGAGTGTCAGCTGCTGATGTCAGATGAAGATGGGACGCTCACCATCGTGGTGTGAGTCATCGATTCACACGCTTCTGCTGTCAGGAGCGTGGCACTCCAGTACAGGCCCTCTCAAGTGTGTACTTTTGAGACGTCTCAAAAGCCTAGGAGGATGGGCATGATGAGTGTCAGCTGCTGATGTCAGATGAAGATGGCACGCTCACCATCGTGGTCTGAGTCCTCTAGTCACGCCTCTGCTGTCAGCAGTGTGACGCTCCAGGGGAAATCGATCGTGTCCCGCTCCACGGTGCTTCATTCGGGGTGCCGAGGAGCAAACCCAAGGTCGGCGGAGGTAGAATGGTTGCTGCAAGGCCAGCTAAGGTGGGATGGCTGGGTGTAAACGCAGCAGCTCACACCACAGCCGAATCTGTCCACAGCTACTAGTCCAGTCGAATGTAATGTTTATGCCATGCTTGTAGAGTGCTAGCAGGCTGTAGTGGTTGGATTAGTACAGCTCAATGCAACGATGACTCGATTGCAACAGCAGCAACCACAAACGTCAAGTACATGCAAATCAGGCAGATACCCCAGGTCCTAGTCACCCTGAACCCGGACCACACCACAAAGGCAATGGACGAAAGCACCCCTCCCAGCAGAAAACACAACGCCAGCAGCACATTAGGATGGTGAAACAACACCAATGGCTCAGGGTACAAGTCCCAGCTACGGACAGCCAACGCCGACCCAACCCCGACCATGAGATTAAACATCGGCCCCGCAAAACACCCGGCAATCGCCATTGTCGGGTGCCCAGCCTTCGCTATAGTAACATCTGCTACAAGATCGCCCACGGAGTTCCCCCAGGCGAGCACGGTAATCCCAAGGATGGACGGCGACACGTGCAGGATAATCCCAAGGGCGGAGAGCAGGCCTAAAAGTTCTGACGCTGTTAGAGCTATCCAGAAGACTGACATGGCAAAGGAAACGGGGACGATGAGGGAGCGCGGGGCGCCTATGGGGTTAGAGGCTCGGGTGGCGAGGAGATAGGCTGCAGCACAGAGGGAGCTTTGAATGAGCACGAATGAGCGGACTGCAAGGGAGGAGGTTGAGAGGGTTGAGGAGGAGGAGAAGAGGGAGGAGGTCGGGGAGGCGGAGGAGGAATCGGAGGAGAAAGAGGTGGAGGAGAGGGAGGAAGGGGGGTCGAGGGGCGGGAGGAAGAAGAGGAGGTTGGAGTTCGGGGGGAGGAGGGCGCGGGTGGTGTGGATGGCGATGAGAGGGCAGAGAACGACGTTGGCGGTGGCGTATCGGATGTCCCATGCGGAGGGGTCGATGGATGGGATGGTGGCCAGGCGCAGCGGGTCAAAGATGACGTGCAGGCACGCCCGCAGCTGGGGGGAGGGGAGGGGGGGGAGGGAACAGGGGGAGAGGGCAATGAGAGGGCAGAGGACGACGTTGGCGGTGGCGTATCGGATGTCCCATGCAGAGGGGTCGATGGATGGGATGGTGGCCAGGCGCAGCGGGTCAAAGAGCACATGTAGGCACGTGCGCAGTTGGAGGGGAAGGGTAACAGGGAGAGAGGAGTAGGGGGGTGGGGAGGGAGGCGGCGGGGGGAGGTGGAGATACATATGAGTGAAGGACGGGGAAAGGAAGGGGGAGGAGGAGGGAGTGTGACAGAACAGGGGGAGCAGGGGGTACAGCGAGAAAGCAAGTGGTTTTATTGAAAAAAATAAAAGATATAAGGGAGGGGGGTGGGGGGAGAACAGTCGAGATCTGGGGCTATAAGTTCTAATGCTGGAAACCAAGAAATAATATTTTGCAATGTGACTGGTGAGGTGAATACCTTTTCAAGCCAGGCGGTGAGTGTCCAGAGCGCCAGACGCCAGAAGCGAGGGACATGCACAAGGACATGCTGAGGTGGCTTGCGAATGCCGTGGTGGTGGTGAGCGAGAGGAGACGAGGATCGGAACAATGGCAGCAATGGCTGCTGCTGCTGCGGCTGCTGCTGCGCATGCTGAAGCTGATGCTGAGGCTCATCACCCGTGTCATCTCCCGGCTGCTGCACCAAATGGCTCTTGTATCGCGTCACAGGGGAGTCATGCGTGATGGCAGTGCTTTTCTTATCCTCCCTGGGCGAATGGGCATGGCCGTGGGCATGTGGATGGGGAGGGTCTGGCGGCTCCCACGCATTTGACACAATAGCCACGGCCACAAAGCAGATATAGAAGGCTACGAGGCCGGCTGCCTGCCAGAGGTACACGTGGCCTGAGAGGTATATGAGGAGCAGTAGCAGCACGCCTGTTGCAAAGAGGCACGAGTCACGCAGGAACGGACGCGGTCGCACGGGGAAGGGCGCAGCTGCAACTGCCACGCAGCCCACCACGAAACATGTGACGAATGCGCCTGCACTGGAAACGGGGACGATGGGAAAATAGAGAATGACTTGGATGATGGGAAGGTAATGAATCACTTGGTGCATTCGTTTGGGCGTCGTTTGGGCTGGTAACTGGATTTAGGAAGAAACAAGCACTGCCCGCACTCCTCTGCCCTCCACGATGCAGATTCACTCACGCACGCACGCACCTAACAACTGCTCCCAGTCCCACTTTGGGGTTCCCCCCAACGATCGCCGCTAGGGATGAGAACACGTCAGGCGCTCCGTTCCCAAGCGCCAATAGCGTCACGCCAGCTGTGCTGGGCGAGAGGCCGAGCATGGCGGACATTGTCTCCACAGTCGGGCAGAAAAAACGGTCAGCTGTGTCAGCGAGTAGAAAAAGAGCCGCGAGTAACCCTAGGAGGAGTAGCGGGAGTGAGATCCAGGAGCGTGCACCTAGGATACAATAGTGAAGGTCGATGTAGTTAATTAAAGACTTGGAGCCTGCTGATGTACAGTACTGTCTGACATACTCGCATTTAGCTGCGGATGTGGTGTTTCTCGGCAAAAGATGCACTGACGCGCACATACGGGCATCTGACGTGTCACCATTGCTACAGCCAGTGCAGTTCTTAGTGGTATTTAAGGATGTATGCTCGAAACGCTCGTGCTGCTGCGGAGGGATAGAAGTAAGGAGCCGTCGATTCGAGTCGACACCTTCTGCTTGAGCCAAGCGTATGACGGAACGGTCGGTGGTAGCGGAATTTCTCGAACAGTTGCCATCGGGAAACCGGGAGCTTGAAGCTCCTGCCTCGACTACCAGCAAGGCAAAAAGAGCTATACACGCGCACCGCGTACCCATGGCCATGGTTGCTACGAAGCCATTATAGGAAAGAGTGACAATACCGAGAGGAACCAGAGTGCTGGATCTGTTTCTCGCCGTCTAGTTAGTATGATAGGAGGAAGTCACAAGGGAGTGACACTGACATCACAAATTCGGCAGATAAGGAAACTTGTCTTGTAAATGCTTCATGTCCGCGATACAAACAGTATTGCAAATTCGGGGTATGCCCAGCACTGAAAACGTCTATATTACAAAACTGTACAATTCAAACCATGACAGCTGGCTTGTGTCCTCGTAATTTCACGCCTCTCCGAGCGGGTGAAATGGCGCCTCGGACGGAATTTGACGCAAGCCAGGGGTCAAAAGAAGCAGACGTCGTTCCACTCTTGTAACAATCGGCATTCTCGAGAGCTGTCATGTCCAGCATTTCTCGCTCCTGTGCCGAATATGTTCTTCGTGATGTTCCATGTGATGTCCCTGGAAATGACGTCGTGACGGAGCCCCATGGAATCAAATGGCATTTATTCCAAGAATGTGTTGGTGCTTCACACCAGGCGATCCTGCCTATTGTTGTCGAAGACATAGTGGATACTAGTAGTGCTGCAATGTCAGGCGTTGCTGGATTTGGTATGGCTTCCGAGCTCGCTGCAACGTTAGCGTCTCAGGCACTTTAGGTCAGAAAATTGGCGATCACCCATTCTGTGCATAGAAAGCGTGGATAATTCAGCTTCAAGCTGTTCTTGCAGGAAAACGGACTCCCTCCGGGGTTATTGCCACTTCAACAGGTCGTGCAGAGCACAAACACGAGGACTGGGCCCTTTCACGTCAAACTTAGTCACAGCGTGGAAAGAAACATTCACGGAAACCTTGTCCGCTATTCTTCTGAAGTCAGAGGAACCATTTGTCGCGGAAAAATCACAAATCTCAAGGCAAGATAGCTCTTCTTATTGTGCTTCGAATTCCGTCGTCACTTTTGACGTTGTCCCTCTTTTTCGTGCAGGGAGTTCACGTGAGAAGATTGATGTTGTGGCTGTCTGTTGATTCCATTGAAAGCAGGGAAGCCAACCCCTCAGATATTCACTTCCGTGTAGGTCCAGTATCAGAAGGAATTCCTCGCTCGGCGTTTTAACTAGTGCTCAGTAAGCCAGGAAGAAGTTAACAGCTTTGTTCCTCGCAGCAAAGGGAAATACGAAAGCTTAGCATACCATATGTGGCATAAGTAGTGGTGCAGGATATACAACGCTGCCGTTGGTTGTTTCCAATTGATGTTGAGCAGTACCGGTACCACATTTCAGGTGGACATAGCAATTGAATGGGCCTGCTCAGGTCCTCATGTATGGAGAATTCCGGTGTTACTATGTTGAGCAGACACTCATCCCAGCATTGCGAGCTTGCACAACTGGTGGTTCCATTTCTTGCTGTCTACAAGAACTTCCATTCTCACCACCAAGTTATTTCGCTACTAACTGTCACACGTTAGTGGCCTTCCAGTGCCTCCACCTTTCACTTGCACCTCTCTACCGTTCAGAGCACATACCAGACTCAAGAAATCAGCGAGCTTAGCGTACAGAGGAAAAAACTATACATCAATGGATTCCGAATCTCAACTTATCCCACTCTTCCCTAGCTTTTAGAAGTTTTGCTACCCACAGCCACCAGGCTGGCTTATTGCCTATCTTCCTAGTGCTGAAAGCTGCTACACCTTTCAACAATAACCCTACACCTTTCACTAGCAGTCCCAATAAGAGGAGAATCAAGGCCACTCGACTTGGGTCGCTGTTGGCCATGACAGAAACTCCAAACACCGCCAGGAGAACAGGCACTGCAAACAGATCCAGACCTTCGCAGCACTCCAGTGTGCTGAATCCAAAAACAAAAACTCCATTTTTGGAACAAGTTCGAATCTCTTTGACTGCTATGGCCTTGCTCCCGTCGCCGAAACGTGGCACTTGCGGTGAGCCTTTTCTTTCGCCCGTGTTGCCAGCAGCTGCTGCTGTCTGCTCCTTGGAGAGGAGCAACAATAAAGAAGCCAAGCTCACGACGATGAGGCTCGCTCCAATGAAGCTCCTCCATATGACAGGTAGCACCATGAGGTGCTTCGGCGGGAAAATGGCAATGCATCCAAGGAAGCTGGCCAGGAGCAAGTGCAGTAGCGAAACGTCCACGCCGTTAATACTGACATCAGACGAACTCTCGTTAACGCCAAGGATCTCTGGGTTGGGAGGAACCGTCGCTGAAGGGTATGAGGCTGGCTTGCATAGTGGAGATGACGGACGGTTGCGATGGCACAGATCAAGCTTCCGCGGCGTCACGATATCAGCAAACAGGACGCTGTTCTGCGGCGAGACGGACGGAGAGCTTTTGCTGCTATTGCTCCACGAGCCACACGGGCTGCTGAGCGCCTCACAGTGTGTCGCGTGTGATGACGAGAGCAGAACTTAGTTTGGCAAGAAGGCGGCCAGGCGGAAAGCGACGATGGACACGCTCTATCCCCTGGCAACGTGGGATCAGCTAAAGATCGCGCGCGAGGGAATAACCAGCTTCGACATGACCGCTTCCGACGGCGGCGAGTGGAGGAAACAGGCCGGTTCTCGAAAGCATTTGTTGCCCCATCGGCGAGATTTTCGGACTTTGCCGGATAATCATCTTCCGTCGAGCAAACGTCGTCTTCGCTAGGATGCTCATCAAGGGCCGCGAGATCGTCTGGGCAAGAAAGCCTCCGACGCAGGCTGCCGCTATGATGCAAGAAATGTAGTCGCCGCCAGTGGAAGCCTTTGGGGTGGTCTTCTTGAGCGGGTGAGCACGGCTGCAACCTAGGCAGATGACGCTCAGGCGTGGGAATAGTGAATTTCATGGGATTGCTTTCGATCTCTGCAGTCTCCTCGACACGCGTCGCGTCGGGCATCATCGTCGCACTTCTGGCGTGCCGCGAGCTGATTCTTCGCCAGAAGGATGTGGCGTGCGTCTCCATTGGCCTCGTTGGACTCGACATCTCTTTCTCATACAACCGGAAAACGTTGCAAGTCTAGAATGAAGGATTGAGACTGCCGCGAAACTATATTTTCCTTGCAATAACAAGCGTTCGCAATCCGCAAGCTTTACACGGCGTTCCAGATATATCGACGCACCGGAGCTAGAAATCCGGAAACTATGGAAACAGTGGCCGCCTTGGTATGTAGTCTAGTGTTGGCCCAGCAGCCTACTGCCGTTGCCACAGTCAGTGTGCTCGTCAGTGGAAAATCTACCGAGATAAGGAGGCTTCACTTCACAGCTAGCGTTCTGTGTGGAGGGCAACGTTCTGTTGCTCCCTTTAGCTGGCCCTCCCGTCCCTCTGCATGAACCTTTATTCCAAAACTCTTCCCAACCAAGCGCCGAGCCCACCGAACCAAACCAGCGTGCCATGCGGCTCTGCCCTTCCCCTCCACGCCTCCTCCTGACCTGGCCTGTCAGTGGAAATTGCGTGGTCGCCTCCCTCCCCGAGCCACACTTTCGAGCCTGCCACGATGTTTGCGCGCCCGAATCGCCTTTCCTTTCCTTTCCTGACGCGCCAGCTCAGGAACAGCGTCAGCTAGTCTGTGATTTGCTCGACGTCCAGCTGCGCGCTTGGTTTTCCCCGTCCCCCTTTCCGTCCTCCGCCGCCCCCTTCACTACATAATCGCTCAATATCGTCGATCCCAGCCAGCTGCTTCGCCGACGTTCGATTGCGATTTGGACGACTTTTCTTGGCACCACCCTCGACAATGATGACGTGACTCCCTCGTGCGATACGAGCCAGCCTCCTTCCCCGACTTTCCCCCCAGTTCAAGGATTTCGTCACTGCTACATTGCCGAACTATCCGGGCACCTGCTTATCTTCAGGTTAGCACGTTCGCCCGCCAATCCCAACTGAGCACGGCAGTTTCTGGCGATTGAACTTGGGTTGGGTGCGCTGTGCGACGGTCATCCCAAACGAGATTGGTTGAGCATGCTTACGCGACAAGAAAAATCCTTTTCAGCAAATAGGGAACGAAACCCCGAGTCCTTCCCATCTGATACAGTACACGTATCCCCCAAACAAACCGAACCAGCACGTCATCAGAGGGTGAAACTGTTCAGGGGGAAGTGTCAACGAAGAAGGGATGAATGTGTGGTGACGCACTCACAGCGCCCGCCCTGCGGAAAGATTTCCCTTCCGCAGAGGCCTTCGTTAACGATTTTCTCCCACGCTACACCACGAAGCAATCACCCATACAGCACAATATGTAAACAGAGTTGTAGGCAAAGGTGACATCGTTGTGAAATGGTTCCATCCCAACAATGTGGGCTTGCTCAACAAGTGCGCTCCGTCCTGGCTTCCTGGATATCACAGCCACCAAGATGGTGCAAACTGCTACACATGTCACTATTAGCTTCCCAATCACTCCCAGCCTAAAACACTTTCTAATAGTGGCACTTACGGTACGGTACTGAAGTCCAGCACCCAGTGAGCTTACTACAGGGCCTCAGATTCCAGGAATTTTACCCTGATTTCCTGAAGTTTGACCCCAGTTTTTTATTGCAACCCTGATCTATCAGCCTTTTTCTTTTTACAACCCTGATGAATCAGTGTTTTATGTTTCCAAGGACTGATTTTCCAGTGTTTCCTGTTTGACGACACTGACGAGTCAGTGTTGTATCGGAGACGACCCTGAAACCGAAAACTCCGTGATTCTCGCTGTTTTGCGCGCCATCATCATTCATGTACCCACCCTGCACCGACGCCACCATGCGGCTCGCCCAGATAAAGCTGAACGGGGTAATTTCGTGCTGGGTTGGCAAAACGGCGCAAAGAGATTGGCTGTCCAAGCTAATCCAGACGGCGCAAAGAGATTCGCTTTTTTTTTAGTTATTTTAATTGTGGCTGTAGATTCACTGATCAGTGTTTTCTTACAAGGCACCCTGTTTGATCAGTGTTTCTTTTTCAACAACCCTGAGAAATCAGTGTTTCTCCACAGGCAACCCTGATGATCAGTGTTACAGCCCCAAGGGACCCTGAGTGCTCAGGGTCACCCAAAACGAATCTGAGGCCCTGGCTTACTATACAGAGGAACATATTCACATAAATCAATCCTGTATCTTCAGCTTATCCCACTCTTCTTTAGCTTTCAAGACCTTTGCTACCCACAGCCACCAGGCTGGCTTGGTGCCTATCTTCCTTGTGCTAAAAGCTGCTACAGCATTCAAGAATAGCACCCCACCTTTCACGGACAGCCCTACCAGAAGGAGAATCACGGCCACTCGACTTGGGTCGCTGTTGGCCATTACGGAAATTCCAAACACCGCCAGGAGAACAGGCAACACAAACACATCCAGACCTCCGCAACATTCCAGCATCCCAAGCCCCATAGCATCCACTTCATTTTTGGCAGAAGCTTGAATCTCTTGTACTTCAGTAGCCTTGGTGCTGTTCAGCAAAGTTGTGAATTTTTTCTCGGCCGAGTTGCCAACACCAGCTGTTGCATGCCCCTTGAAGAGGAGCAACATTAAAGAAGCCAAGCTCACTACGATGAAGCTCGCTCCAACGAAGATCCTCCACATGACAGGTAGCACCATGAGGTGCTTCGGCGGGAAAATAGTAATGCATCCAAGGAAGCTGGCCAGAAGCAAGTGCAGTAGTGAAACGTCCACTCCGTTAAGACTGACATCAGACGAACTCCCTTTAACGCCAATACTCTCTGGGTTTGGAGGAACCGTGGATGGAGGGTGGGAGGGCGGCTTGCAGAATGGAGATGACGGACGGCTGGGATGGCACAGATCAAGCTTCCGCGGCGTCACGTTATCAGCAAGTATGAAGCTGTTCTGCGGTGAGACGGATGGAGAGCTCTTGCTGCTGCTGCTCCAGGAGCTGCACGGGCTGCTGCTGAGCGCCTGACTTTGTTCAGACTGTTGCATGTGATGACGAGAGCTGAACTTAGATGGGTAAGAAGGAGGCAAGGCGGGAAGGGACGACGAACACGCCCTCTCCCCTCGCGCGGGAGAGAATAACCAGCTTCGACGGCGGCGAGTGCCACCCGAGGAAACAGGCCGGTTCTCGAAACCATCGGTTGTGGGCCCATGATCCGCGAGTTTCTCGAACGTTGACTTCACCGGAAACTCATATTTTGTCGAGAAAACGTCCGAGTCGTCTTCGGTATCATGACTCATTGGATGATGCTCATTAGTAAGGGCCGCGAGATTGTCTGGGCAAGAAAACCGCCGACAGATTGTCTCATGATTGCCCCTACTATGATGCAAGACTTGCACTCGCCGCCAGTGGAAGCCTTTGAAATGGTCTTCTCGCCGAGGTGAACACCGCTGCAGCCTAGGCAGCTGACGATCAGGCGTGGGGATAGTGGATTTCACGGGACTGCCGCCGCTTTCGACCTCTGCAGTCTCCTCGATACGGCTCATGATGTCGGACATCGATGTCGCGCTTCTGGCGTGCCGCAAGCTGGTAGTTCTTCGCCAGAAGGATGATGTGGTTTCACGTCCCGGGTGCGTATCCATGATTGGCAGCCTCGTTGGACTCGCCATCTCTTCTTCATACATCCGGAGGGCGTTGCAAAGTCAGATTGAACGATTGGAGGCCGCCGCAAAACTCCTTATTTCTTTCCTAACAAGCGTTCGCATTCGATCCGATGATGGTAGTAGTAGCTGAACAGTCGCCGGCTTCACGGGCGTTCGCATTCAATCCGATAGAAGCGAACAGTCGTCACCAAGTAACAAAGCTTACCGAGTTAGTAAGCTTCACACGGCGTTACTACAGAGGCTCAGGAGCCATGATGGAGGAAACAGGTGCTGTCTTCATAGTCCGGTGTTGGCGCGGTGTTACTGCTATTTCCACAGTCAGTGTGCGTGTCAGTGAAAAAACAACTTTGCGGAGACAGGAGGCATCACTTCGCATCTAGCTTCCGTTCGAAACGGTGACGTTCCGTTGCTCCCTTTCGCTGGGCCTGCTGCTGTCCCTCTACGAGAACCTTTATCGCGAATTTCTTCCCAACCAGGCGCCGAACACACCGAACCATACAAGCGTGTCCTGCACCTCTTGCCCGCCCTGCCCCTACCCTGACCTGCCCTGTCCGTGGAGAATGCGTGGTCGCCACCCTCCCCAAGCCACACTTTCGAGTCTGCTACGCATATTTGCGCGCGTGGCTTGCTTTTGCTTGTTACCCTGAGCTAAGCGTTTGGCTTTCCCCGTCCCCTGTCTTCCGCTGCCCTAATTACTAGAATGATTGTTCCACATCGTTGATCTCAACCAGCTGCTTCGCCGCCGTTCGATTGCGATTCAGATGGGCTTTACTTGGCACCCACCCCGGCTTAGACCTAGGCTGCTTTCCCGAATTGATGAGGGATTTCGCTACAGCTCCATTGCCGAAATATCCAAGGACTTGGTTGTTGTGTGGTTGTGCAGAACCTCCTTAGCACTCCTTTCTGCGCTCTGGCTGGCTTGCCGACTTTCAGGTCGGGCAACTTTAGAAAAGTTTGGGCATGTCAGACACATCTGTGCAGCCAGAACTTCGACAACCCTTTGTGGCGAAACTAACTGGATTGTGACGCCCGAAAGGAATCTGGCGATTGCCGCAAAATCGTTCAGACCCGTAACGCACTCGCCACCAACGGCCGCCCATGCAGCCACAATTCAGAAGGCATTCAGGTTATGACGAAAGAACCACCCTGGTAACTAGCGAAAGCACTACGATTTCAGCTTGTTGGTGACAGACGGACAGCTCCCACCCACCCTCACCAAAAGGTTTCCCCTCCGCAGAGCCCTTCGTTAACGATTTATACCCCGCTACACCATGATGCAATCCTCCATGCAGCTTAATTTGTACACTGAGTTGTAGGGAAAGGTGATGTTGGGATTGGGATGTTTTGGTGGACAGGATAAAGATTCAATATGCAATGTGTCAATTAGGTCGTTCAGGTATGACCTGCAATAACGGGAAACGGAGCTCCCAATGTTCACCCCTGGGATTCTCCCACGAGCCCGCATTCATGGACTCCACATCATTCCAGCTCCGCTTCACAGATAACCAGTTACTGTCTCCTCGCAGCAAACTAGTAACCATCTATCTACAAATCGCCTATTCATGGTAGTAAAGCTTCCGCCTTGTGCCTCGTGTAACGTGCCCTCCGCTGCACGCGGCGTTTATACATCGAACAGCATTACGAAGCCAGCAAAGCATGATCTCGGTGAAGCCAAGTGTCCAGTGCTCCATTCCGTACCCTCACCCGAAACGTCAATATGACGCTCTTAGCGGAAAACACGGAGTCAGCCTGAGCTGGTCAGCCATCCTCAATCCGTTCCCGAGTCGGCAGGCTTTAAGAAATAGATCAGACAGTCTCAACCGGTCAAAATCTCGCGTTCAAGCTGCCGCGCGCACTGGCAAGAGCGGTCGCGTCGGCACGCGAACCAGCGGAGGGAAACGGAGCGGAAGGGTGGCAACGAAGCCCGCGCAGCAGCCCCCGTCCGCACGGCGTGCCCGTCGACCCATCCGCGTTCCGCTGCCGTCCTCTGGCCCGCTGAACCCCCCCGAATGGGCTCGACAGGTGCGCTGCTGCGCATTAACCATGCGGGGACCATCCTGGTATCAGGGAGAGTCTCTAGCGTTGGTGCAGTTTCGAGCCGTCTCGTAATCTCATGACGACGCAGCTGCAGCTCCAGCCGTCTCGTAATCGCAAGGTGGTGTAGCTGCAGCTGCATGTTGCCATGATATCTCATGCTTGCCACGAGTCAATTTCCCTTGTAATACGGCCCCGTTGCTCTCAGCGAGATTGGGTCGCTCTCAATCCTAGAACCTCCCTCGCTCCCTCGCTCCCGCTACAATGATCCAGTTTTAAGAGGTTTATAAGAAATGCTGGAATGGAGTCTCCCTCCTCTCCCTCCCGTTTGAACATCCGCCTTGTGTGGGGTAGGGAGCTTGCAATGCAACTGCATTCTTGAGTCGACTCAAACTTAACATCGTCCCTTCTCCACTCCTCTTCCCTCCCCTCCCCTCTCTCTCTCTCCCACCACCCAGGCCATAGAGCAGCAGGCGTGGAGGGGGGGATTGGAGCCGTGTGGGGAGCACGACTACACTTTCTTGAGTAAACTCAAATGTCACATCCTCCTTCCCTCCCTGACTCTTCTCTCTCCCACCACCCAGGCCATAGAGCAGCAGGCGTGGAGGGGGGGATTGGAGCCGTGTGGGGAGCACGACTACACTCTCTTGAGTAAACTCAAATGTCACATCCTCCTTCCCTCCCTGACTCTTCTCTCTCCCACCACCCAGGCCATAGAGCAGCAGGCGTGGAGGGGGGGATTGGAGTCGTGTGGGGAGCACGACTACACTCTCTTGAGAAAACTCAAATGTCACATCCTCCTTCCCTCCCTGACTCTTCTCTCTCCCACCACCCAGGCCATAGAGCAGCAGGCGTGGAGGGGGGGATTGGAGCCGTGTGGGGAGCACGACTACACTCTCTTGAGTAAACTCAAATGTCACATCCTCCTTCCCTCCCTGACTCTTCTCTCTCCCACCACCCAGGCCATAGAGCAGCAGGCGTGGAGGGGGGGATTGGAGCCGTGTGGGGAGCACGACTACACTCTCTTGAGTAAACTCAAATGTCACATCCTCCTTCCCTCCCTGACTCTTCTCTCTCCCACCACCCAGGCCATAGAGCAGCAGGCGTGGAGGGGGGGATTGGAGCCGTGTGGGGAGCACGACTACACTCTCTTGAGTAAACTCAAATGTCACATCCTCCTTCCCTCCCTGACTCTTCTCTCTCCCACCACCCAGGCCATAGAGCAGCAGGCGTGGAGGGGGGGATTGGAGTCGTGTGGGGAGCACGACTACACTCTCTTGAGTAAACTCAAATGTCACATCCTCCTTCCCTCCCTGACTCTTCTCTCTCCCACCACCCAGGCCATAGAGCAGCAGGCGTGGAGGGGGGGATTGGAGCCGTGTGGGGAGCACGACTACACTCTCTTGAGTAAACTCAAATGTCACATCCTCCTTCCCTCCCTGACTCTTCTCTCTCCCACCACCCAGGCCATAGAGCAGCAGGCGTGGAGGGGGGGATTGGAGTCGTGTGGGGAGCACGACTACACTCTCTTGAGTAAACTCAAATGTCACATCCTCCTTCCCTCCCTGACTCTTCTCTCTCCCACCACCCAGGCCATAGAGCAGCAGGCGTGGAGGGGGGGATTGGAGCCGTGTGGGGAGCACGACTACACTCTCTTGAGTAAACTCAAATGTCACATCCTCCTTCCCTCCCTGACTCTTCTCTCTCCCACCACCCAGGCCATAGAGCAGCAGGCGTGGAGGGGGGGATTGGAGCCGTGTGGGGAGCACGACTACACTCTCTTGAGTAAACTCAAATGTCACATCCTCCTTCCCTCCCTGACTCTTCTCTCTCCCACCACCCAGGCCATAGAGCAGCAGGCGTGGAGGGGGGGATTGGAGCCGTGTGGGGAGCACGACTACACTCTCTTGAGTAAACTCAAATGTCACATCCTCCTTCCCTCCCTGACTCTTCTCTCTCCCACCACCCAGGCCATAGAGCAGCAGGCGTGGAGGGGGGGATTGGAGCCGTGTGGGGAGCACGACTACACCCTCTCCCCCTCCAACCCTGCACACGTGAGCGGGAGGATACCAGAGGCGCTGCAGGGCACGCTGTACCGCTGTGGCCCGGGGCGAATTCGCGTGGGCGGGTCCAAGTTTGGTCACTGGTTCGATGGCGATGGCATGGTGAGTGTGGGTTGTGAGTGTGCGAGAGGAGGGTAGGCATCGCATTGTGAGGGACGCTGCAGGGCACGCTGTACCGCTGTGGGCCGGGGCGGATCCGAGTGGGCGGGACCAAGTTTGGTCACTGGTTCGATGGCGATGGCATGGTGAGTGTGGGTTGTGAGTGTGCGAGAGAAGGGTAGGCATCGCATTGTGAGGGACGCTGCAGGGCACGCTGTACCGCTGTGGGCCGGGGCGGATTCGAGTGGGCGGGACCAAGTTTGGTCACTGGTTCGATGGCGATGGCATGGTGAGTGTGGGTTGTGAGTGTGCGAGAGGAGGGTAGGCATTGCATTGTGAGAGGCGCTGCAGGGCACGCTGTACCGCTGTGGGCCGGGGCGGATTCGCGTGGGCGGGACCAAGTTTGGTCACTGGTTCGATGGTGATGGCATGGTGAGTTTGTGGAGTGTGTGCGATGTGGGGATGACATGGGGAGCATGCGTCATGGTTGGCTGGGGTTGACAAGGCAAGTGTGGTGAAATGAGAGCACTGTTGAACCCCAGCCCTTCATTCACTCCCACGCTCTCTCCTCTCCCATCTCCTCATTCCCCGCACACACACACCCCGTCCTTCCCACGCCCTCTCCTCTCCCAACTACCCATCCCTCGTGATCCTTCCCAGGTCTACGCCTTGCATCTGGACGGCCCAACCGGTACGGCAAGGTTTGTTTGCAAGTGGGTGCGCACTTCAGCCCTGGAGCAGCGGGGCGGACCAGAGGTGCAGGCAGGGGAGGGGGGCGAACGAGTGGGGGAGGAAAAGGAGGACACGGGGATACGCGTGAAGGGTGCATGGACACAGGCCACTGCTGGAGGGGCGCTCAAGAACGTTGGGCTGCCAGCTAACCCTGTCAACACCAGGTGCGGTGCCAGCTAACCAGAGGTGGAAGCAGGGGGGGGAGGAAAAGGACGACACGGGGATACGTGTGAAGGGTGCATGGACACAGGCCACTGCTGGAGGGGCGCTAAAGAACGTTGGGCTGCCAGCTAACCCCGTCAACACCAGGTGCGACGGCGAGGGGATAAGAGGATAAGATACTGAGATCATAAGATGTTCCTACCAGGTTTCTTAGGACGCGTCACAATTGCAACACCGATCCTGTGAGGGATCGGTGTGCACAATGTAATGTACAGTGTCTTCGCCAATTCGTAGAAGCTGTGTATCCCTTTTTCGTCTATATTCGTTTGACGCCGCCGATCTTGCCGCCACAATCGTGCACTTTCCGAGAAATTCTCAAAAAACACCCACAATCGTGCCGATCTTTCCGATTGCCGAGATCGGATGGCTTGAAATGCCACATCGATCGTGCGACTGGCAGAGGGGGTATCGAAACCGCGCCACCAGTGATGGGCACGATCGATCGCCGTCGCATACAGTCGGCCAGCGTCGATGCGGTTACAGGGCGAGTTTGTGCGCGTCGTCACAACACAAGCATGGCGAAATTGTATGACTCGCCAGCGAAGCAATGCGACGCCCTGGCATCTGGGTGTACAGTTGGCATGGAGGTCCCCCCCACATGACATTCCGGTCGTGTCCCAAGTGGCTCGGGGAAAGCAGCCGACACTGCTCACGCAGATTGAAACTGGCTGTTTCACGAGCGATGCTGCCATTTTCAGTGTTTGATCCCGATCCTCCCCGGTGTTGCAATTGTGACGCGTCCTTATATCGCTCTCTTTGGATCGACGCAAAGCCAAACCCCCCACACCCCCTCCCCCCCTCTCCTCTACCCCCCCTTCTCCAGCATCATCCACTCCGCAGGAAAGCTGCTGGCTCTATGCGAGCGCGGCCCGCTATTCCTCCTCAACTCCACCCACTCCCCCTTTTTCTCCACACCTTCCTTCCACCTCCCCACCTCCCCCCACCAGCATCATCCACTTTGCAGGAAAGCTGCTGGCTCTGTGCGAGGGCGGCCCGCCATTCCTTCTGGACGCACAATCGCTGAGCACGCTCGGCCCCTACTCCTTCCCCAACCTGGCTTTGCCCTTCTTCTCCGCGCACCCCAAGCTCGACCCAACTACTGGAGGTGAGCGACAAGCAGCCGAGCTAGCAAGCAGGAGCAAGCAGGCGTGAAAACAGGCAAGCAGGCAGTGTGATATGGGGTGAGAGAGAGCTGTACCGGAAAAAATAAGAAACGAATTCGAGCCAGTGTTGGATCAGTCTCGTTCCCCAACTTGCCCTTCTTCCCTGCTCATTCCAAACCGCACCCGTTCCGAGCAAAACCACCGCACCGCACCCACCGCCCCACCCCCTGGCCCCACCCTGCCCCCTCTCCCCACCGGAGCTGTACAACTTTGGCAGTGTGCTGTTCGGCATGCAGCCATTCGCCACTTTCTTTTCTGCTCATCTCATCCCAACCGCCAGTTATCCCAACCAACTTCCCCCCCCTTCCCCCCACCCCCGCAACCCCCGTGGCCCCACCCCGCCCCCTCCCCCTCACCAGAGCTGTTCAACTTTGGCAGTGTGCTGTTTGGCATGCAGCCATTCGCAATCGCAGCGGACGGGCAGCAAACGCGCATGGGCGCGCTACAGGGCTCGCCAGAGGTGGCTCTCGTGCACGACTGTGCCATGTCGTCTCGCTTCCTCGTCTTCACCATCCCTCCCTACGCCGCCTCTGCTGCTGACGTCGCTCAGGTGCGCACTTCTCGCCCTCCTTACCCTCCCATCTCCTCCCTGGCTCTCGTGCACGACTGTGCAATGTCGTCTCGCTTCCTCGTCTTCACCGTCCCTCCCTACGCCGCTCCTGCTGGGGACGTCGCTCTGGTTCGCTCTCCTGCCTTCTCCCTTGTCCTCTCCTGACCTCTCCTGCCCACTCTTGTCCTCCCTTGCAATCCCCATGAATGACTTTTGAGTCGACTCAAAAGTCATCCCTTGTCCACTCCTTGCCTCTCGTGCCCACTCTTGTCCTCCCTTGCAATCCCCATAAATAACTTTTGAGTCGACTCAAATGTCATCCCTTGTCCACTCCTGGCCTCTCGTGCCCACTCTTGTCCTCCCTTGCAATCCCCATGAATCCTCAGTACACCTCAGCACACGTCACAGCACATCAGTGCACAATCAGCCCAACACGCTCTTTTTCCAACATTATCTCTCTGCACTCTCCTTGCTCCGTACTATCACGTGCAGATGCTAGCAGGGCAGCAGTCCCTGGGCAAAGGTTCACATACGACGAGTCTCGGTGCTGAGGTGACTTTTGAGTCGACTCAAAAGTTGCTCCGTATTATCACGTGCAGATGCTAGCAGGGCAGCAGTCCCTGGGCAAAGGTTCACATACGACGAGTCTCGGTGCTTCTCAACACACCAACATCCCACCATACTCGTTTTCGTACGCTTTCGTGCCTCCCCCATTGTTCCGTAACACGTGCAAATGCTAGCAGGTCAGCAGTCGCTGGGCAACAGGTTCAAGTACGACGAGTCTCAGTGCACCTCAACACACCAACAGCCCATGATACTCATTTCTTGCTTGTTTTTCGTGCGCCCCGCTGGTTCCCTGTCACGTGCAGATGCTAGCAGGGCAGCAGTCGCTGGGAAACAGGTTCACGTACGACGAGTCAAAGCCCACGAGGGTGGTGGTGGTGGGGAAGGAGAGCCTATCAGTGGAGGTGCAGATGGACGTGTGGCCGCCCTTCTCCAACTACCACTTCTGCAACGCCTGTGAGGAGGGTGACAAGTTGCACGTGCTGCTGACTGTCCTGGTAAGTGTTATTGTGGTGCTTTTCCCCCATTAGAGAGCACCATAATCCTCCTCACTGCAACCCAGTCCCCTTTCTCCAACTACCACTTCTGCAACGCCTATCAGGAGGGTGACAAGTTGCACGTGCTGCCGACTGTCCTGGTGAGTCATCACTCCTCCACCGTATTGCACCTCACTGCACCCCAGCCGCCCTTCTCCAACTACCACTTCTGCAACGCCTATCAGGAGAAGGACAGGCTGCATATGCTGCTGACTGTGCTGGTAAGTCCTGTGTCTTCACCTCATAGCACCTCACACACGAGGGTGGTGATGGTGGTGGTGGTGGTGGTGGTGGTGGTGGTGGTGGTGGTGGTGGTGGTGGTGGTGGTGGTGGTGGTGGTGGTGGTGGTGGTGGTGGTGGTGGTGGTGGTGGTGGTGGTGGTGGTGGTGGTGGTGGTGGTGGTGGTGGTGGTGGTGGTGGTGGTGGTGGTGGTGGTGGTGGTGGTGGTGGTGGTGGTGGTGGTGGTGGTGGGCAGGGAGAGTCTGTCAGTGGAGGTGCACATGGGCATGTCTTTTCCATCTACCACAGCCACCCGTTTCCCATCTCCCCCTCCACATCTCCCGTCTCACCAGGATGGTCCACGAGACGGGCTGGAAGGGGTGTTCAAGGACATGTACGGGGGCACATGGCAGCGCAGCAACCAGTGCTCTGTGTGGGAGCTAGTCTTCGACACCAACACTTTTGATCTCCTCTCCCGCTGCCCGTCTCCCACCGCCCATCTCCCCCCACTCTTCTCCCACCAGGACGGCCCAAGAGATGGGTTGGAGGGAGTGTTCAAGGACATGTATGGAGAGTCATGGCAGCGCGGCAACCAGTGCTCTGTGTGGGAGCTCGTCTTTGACACCAACACCTGGGACCTCCTCTCCCGCCGCCGAGCCATGCATTCCGAACCTGGCACGCGAGGTCCGGTGCTAGGCATGGAGTTTGCCGTAGTAAACCCTGCTTACACGAGCAGAAAGAGCAGGTACCTGTACGTGCTGGGGTCCATGCCAGAGAGGGAGAGGGAGGAGCGGTGGAGCAAGGGCGGCTTGGGAGATGGCGTGTGGTATGGAGGAGCAGGAGAGCAGGGGGAGGAGGGCGGCGAGGGGGAGGAGGGAGTGGAGGGAGTGGAGGGGGAGGAAGGAGGGGAGGGGGGTAAGGGGGAGGAGGGAGAGGGTGATGAAGAGGAAGGGAAGGGGATGGGTGTGTATGGGTACTTGAACTGTATTCAGAAGTACGATCTGCAGACGAAGCAAGTGACCACTCACGTCACGCCACCTGGCTGCTACGTCAACGAGTGCAGCTTCATTCCGAACAGTGGCACTGATAACGATGACGCCAGTAACGAGGACGCCTCTAAGGAGGACGACGGGTATCTGGCCGCGTTTGTGTATGATCCATCACGGCACAAGTCGCATGTGGTGGTGCTGGATGCGAGGGATGTGGCCGCACCCCCGGTGGCAGTGGTGCATTTACATTCACATGTGCCGTACCACTTTCACGGCACCTGGGCTGTTAAAGCCGTAGTGCATCAGGGAGGCCTTTGAGCGATACCAGTACTGGTGATGGTGCATCGGCTGCAGTGGTGTGTTACGAATAGTGATTGTTGAAACACTATTACACACTCCTCACCGCAGCAATCGAAGCACGCTTTACCGAGAACGAAGACGGACAGGCGGAGGTGACACGAAGAGTCACACGGTTACGAAAGGATCTGGACCGTCGGGCAGACAGCATCAGGCAGCAGCAGTGGCGAGGATTCTGCCCGAACGGTTTCGTAACTGTCTGGAGTCGCACGGTTGGATTTCGCTGCAATAAGGGAATGTACCCCTTAGAGTACATGGCTAGCTAGGTCGTTTCGAATTCCCTTGTAATCTTATTTATATTCCTTGTACTGCATGTTTTTATTATCTCAAGCATTTACATTCACTCTGCTATTGAGGTCAAGGGCCCACCACCACTAGACGACTGTGCGAACCTTCCTGAGGTGATCCTGAGGGCGATCAACATTGGATCGTATCATGGTATGAGAGCGACTCAGGAATCCTTCGCATCGCCACCACCGAAATCTGCCGCGAACGAAAAGTGGCGTCCGGCACACGCTCACGTGTGAGAATGGCCGGAGGATCTGGAGGTCAGACAAATCTGACGGCTGAAGCGCAGCCCAACCCAGCTGCGACAAATGAGGAAACGACGACAATCCCGTCCGTCGTCCTCGCACAACTGCTTCAGCGACTCACGAGCCTGGAGCAAGGGCTCCAAACATTGCGGAATGGCGACGCGGGAACATCTTCCCATCCCACTCAACCGGCCTCGAACGGCCAGAACTCCGCCCCGCAAGGCTTCTCTCTTGACACAAACGGCTCAACACCCAAGACTCCCTGTCCCAGCGATGAAGCAATTCTCTCTGCGCAATCAAGGTTTTTGAGCATATCAAAAATAAAGACAAGTGTGTGCTTTGACGGCAGAGACTTCTATACCTGGAGCTTCGAGCTGGAGCTGCTGCTGCAAAACGCGCAGATCTTTCACTACTTCGACGGGAGCTACTCGGGACCCACGGAGGAAACTGACGACACAAAAACTAAGTACTACAACGAGTCCCTGATGGCGTACGGGGTCCTTCTTCGAAACATGTCGCCGACGGAGCAATTGAGCATTCGCTCATACAAAACTTCACCTGCTCCAGCCCTCAACGCCTGGCGCCACCTGAATGGTGTGTACCAACCGAAGGACTCGGTGTCGTCGAGCCGTCTACTCCAGCAGCTACTGGAGACCAAAATGGCACCAGGAGAGAAGGCCAACAGTTACCTGAATCGCTGTCGGAGCTTACGCGATCAAATCGCGAAATTGGGGAGCACGATTTCTGAGGAAATCTTCGTAAATATCGTGCTCCAAGGGCTCGGCCCCGAGTGGCGGCCCTGCAAGGCGCTTCTCCGACAGCAGGGGGTCATCTCGGAGGCCGCCCTTTGCGCCACCCTCCTCGTCGAACAACGGGATATGGACCAGCAGCGACCAGCGCCACGACGAGAGAGAGAACGTCTCGCCTTCTACGCGGACAACACGGAAGAGCGACGGCCGCGGCGCCTCTACTGCAAAATCAGCAGGAATTTCGGGCACCTGGCGGACCGATGCAAGCATCGATCTCGCCCTCGTCAGACCAATCCGAGCACCTGGTCCGGCCGACAAGACGCGAGGAACGAAACGCGTCCCGCCCAGGGGTATCAACCCCCATCGCGTAACCTGAATCCGACAACTCAGCAGCAGCAGTCATCACAGACTGCCCCCGTCCGCAATGTCATGGGGAATATGACCATGACGAGCGGCTCTCGTCGCCCGCGCGCACGCTCACTATCACCCGAGCTGGCGCCTGACCCAATCAGAGCGTCCTCGAACAACAATCCGTTCAGCACGCATCACGACTTCAGCGACGATGACAAACAAGACTGGAACCTCCCAGTCCCGCTGCTTGAGAGCCCCCCGCACGTACCAGACACGCGGCCGGCACCGATCGATTGGATCGCACGCGAACAGTTCTTAAAGGTCGACACTCCACACATCGTCACTCCGCGATTGGCGCTGCTCGCGCGAAACGACAACAGGCGCTACAACACGTGGTACCTGGACAGCTGCTGTGGGCAGCATATGGTGGGCTCTGGGCGTTACATATCCAACGCCGTCGCCACCCCCGCCGTCACTTACGTCACTGTGGCGAACAACACGCGGCTGCACGCAAGCGCGCAAGGCATTGTTGTGCTCAAAGCTCATGGAAGCAGAACACACATCACCTTGAATGATGTGTTGATTGTACAACACCTCCGTTTCAACCTGCTCTCGGCGGCGCAACTCCTGGATTGCGGAGTCATCCTCAGCACCGACCCCGAGACGCGCGATATTCTGCTCCACTACACAATGCCGAACAAGATGCGCTGGCAGATCGGACGGGCGCACGCCGAGAACGGAGTATACGTCCTCGACTTCGACATTCCCGACTGCAGCGGCGATTCGCAGGAGTTGATTGATCTCGTCCCCCTGCGCTTCGAACACATTCATCGCCGCGACTGGAAGCACCCTGATGGGCGCCCTTGGGTGCCTCATCACCCACATCCGCGCGAGCTGGCGCTACACGACCCTGATCCCGATGGCATCTGCAGAGACTGCCACACTCCCACATCCTCAACAAGCGCGATCGCCGGCCGTGGCCTTGCCGCCATTCTCGAAGCAGAACGCGACGCACCGCCTGAGGAGGGCCTATCGCAACTAGAGCTGGAAACAGCCACACGGGTCGTCTTCGGTACGCCGGAAAATCCTCTCCCCGGGCCCGCATCCCAGCACCTCCAAGGGATGCTTCGCGGTGTCAGTGTTGGCACCTTCGACGCACAAGGCAACCCACGGCCCTACACCGAAGAAAAGGCGGCAGCCATCTACGCTCATCGGCGCGATTCGAGGCAGAAACTCTCGCCGGCGGAAGAAGAGGCACTGGCACAACGCGAAGCCGAAGAGCTTCGGCAGAAGAGCCTCACTGAGGCGCGCGGAACACTCGCTTGGGAGGATGACAAGGAAAGCGCCTCCAATGAAGGGGGGTGGGGGAGCACAGGCGGCTGGGGAGCCGCAACCGGCGGCGACACAGGCGGCTGGGGCACAGGCGGATGGGGCGCAGCATCTGGCGGAGAAACGAGCGGCTGGGGAGCTTTCCGCGAGGATCAAAGGGGGGAAGAGGAAGAAGAAACAGCGCAAATTGAGGTCGAACCTCCTGTTGTTCCTCTTGGACGCCCTCCGCGCCGCCCTGCATTAGCACCACCGCCATTTGACATCCCTTCAGGAAGTGACCCCTGGGACACCATTGACTGGGGTAGTGAACCACTCACCCCGCGACGCACTGTCTACGGACCTGCCCCTGAACAGCGCGAACCGACATTTGTCCCTGGCACGATCCCCGGCACCAACATCCCCTACTCCATCATTCGCGACAGGGAATTTTTCGCCCTAATGTTAACAACGGCGAACGAAGAAGAAGAGAACGAGGAAGCAGCGGCGACACCTGCTCAAGCACATGATGAAGACCCCGCAGAGGCACTCGCGCGCTACATGCGCACCTCCGGTTTTCGCGACGACGATGCCATCTGGCACCAGCGCCTAGGTCACCCTTCGCGCGTGACCCTGAAGAACTGCATCGAGGCCGGCGTCTTCGCACCTGGCGCACTACTGCGCCCTGACGGCTCCGAAGTGAGAGGCGGAACTCACCCGCGCACCTGCACCATCTGCCCCGAAGCCGCGCTGAGTCACCAGCCCTTCCCCCTGCTGGATCCAGGAACCAACCGCTACGCCAAGTTGGAGAAAGTTTACAGCGACTTTCTCAACGTAGGACACTGCGGCATCAACGACGAGCTCTACACGCTCACCTTCGTCGACGCCGGAACACGCCACGTGTGGATCGTAAACGTGGAAGCACGCAGCAGGGCATACGAGGCATTTCGCTTGTGGCTGGCGCACGCGCAGCGGCAGTCCGGGGAGAAATTGAAGATCTGGCAGCCCGACGGTGCGGCGGAGTTCAGGAGCAAGGAGTTGCAGGATTACCTTGCGCAAAAGGGGATCGAACATCACGTTTCCCTCCCCTATGCACACCAACAGCAGGGCGTAGCAGAGCGCACCAACCGCACACTCATGACGAAGGTGCGAGCGCTAATGAGGCAGTCGAAGCTTCTGCCGATTTACTGGACCTACGCAATGCACCACGCCGTGCGGGTGCACAACCTGCTGTCAACCACCGCGATCACCGGCAACTCCTCACCGCACGTGAAGTGGACGGGGAGGAAGGGCGACACATCCATGCTCCGCGTGTGGGGGTGCATGGTACAGTACCGCCCGCCAACATCAACCATCGGCAAGTTCAAAAGCCGCGCACGCTGGGGAATCCATCTCGGGATTAGCCACGAGTACAAGGCGTGGATCAGAAAATCAAGAACGCGCGCGACGTCATCTTCTACGAGCGCCTCTTCCTTCAGCAATTCCGCGAAGACGAGCAGACGAACGTGAACCGCGTCTACGCCAACGACGGCCACAGCTACGCCTCACCTGAGGACGAAGCCGCAGCAGCAATCCTGGAGCAGGACCCCAGAGGCGAGTTCACGAGAGGTGATCGACACGACGACGACGACGACGACGACGATAACTCAGGAGCGGGCGCAGCAGGGAGCGCAACAGGAGGAAGCGGAAGCGGAAACGGCGGAGGAGCATGTCAGATTTATATGACATAGCTACTGTAGGCTATAGTGGGGTAGCACATATAGGGTACAGTTGTCTAGGGTTTGCATTTGTACCCAACTTTCCCTTAGTCAATCCATTCTAGTTCAGTTTCTCATGGTATCGAGCAGGTTCCCCTGTGGGAACTGTTCCTAGGGCCCACCACCTTTTTTTTCCTGCCCGGAGCGCGCTCTACACTGCCCGAGTCGCGCTCCCCTCTCTCGACCCTGTCGCGCCGCCTTAGCGGCCCCGTCGCGTCGCGCTTGTGGCCCCGTCGCGTCGCCCTTGCGGCCCCTTCACGTCGCGC